CTTGGAACGTTGCCCCTCGCACAGTTAGCTCTAAGTAGCCCAAAGACAGCATTCTCATCTTGTGAAGGTCAGAGGTCTCAGTTTCCTGGGGATGGGGGCTCAGTGCCCCTCACATTTTAAAGTACCCCCAAATGTTCATTTTCTTCTGTTAATATGAACTTTCTATTTCCGATATGTACCCCCTTTTTGTACAGCTTTTCCCCTTCCGATATATGGCTTTCCACAACTAAAGTGCCCTTTAAAATCAAAGAAGTGCCCCTTCTCAAATTTGACAAGTGCTACTTTTACTTCTCATAAATAAGTGCCCTAGCTGAAGCACACATTTTGTAAGTGTCAGTGAAAGTGGTCAACATGGGTAAAAATGAGCTCTCAGCAGAAGAGAAAAATGGTGCACTTATTAGATATGACACAGGACAACTGAGAGATGAAAAAGGCAAAGGGGAAATCGTCCGAGGTGTGAAGGGGCATTTATCTGAATTGGAAAGGGACACTTGACAGGTAGAAGAGGAAAAAAAAACTTTGGGGGGTATTTAGTGGGGGCATTGAGCTCTCTTCCCCTGCCTGGTAGCTCCATATCTGCCCTTCAAAAGATGGGGGCGAGTGCTATCCTGGGGCTACCCGAGGTTAATTGTGATAGGGGGAAAAATTATGGGGAAGGGGGAGGGGAGGATATATCCAGTGGTGTCACTTCATATTGACGGGGTGTACGCATGATAATTAGAAATTTTGTGTGCAAACATTTAATGTAAGCAGATTGGAAGAAAAAAAAAAAAGGTTTTGATATAAAAGGGTCTTTTACACATACCGGTATACATATTTCAAAGGGGGACCTGTGACTTGTATAACACACAAATAACACAAAAATAAGGTAATTTTTGTAAATTTGTAATCAATTTTTAGCTGAAAATGGCCATTTTGGGCAAAAAGGGCCATAATTTTGGGGAAAATTCTTGAAAGTCTGTAAATAGGGGGGGGGGGGGTAATATTTTACTCCACTAACGATCATGCGTTATATTTGAATATGAAGTGACACAACTAGTGGGTGGGGGGATTTGTCCCAAGGGGCAACTTTCCTCAGGTTATACTGGTCCTTAGGGTAAATTGTTGGGGGGGGGGGTGTCATGAAGTAGTTATCATCGGGGGGTAATTGTCGAGAGGTACCTAGGCTATATAAAAAGAAATCCTTTTTTTTCATCCCTTTCTCCTTCCCTTTTACAGCCCTCCTCAATTTTATTGTCTTTTGATATTTTAGTTTTGAAATCATATAAATATCAGAGGACATCTAGACAATGGGATTGACAAATCATTAAGTTAATGCAATTTCACTATATTTCAGCCTTTGTAGTGGATTCACAAATGAAAAGTTTTAATTTTTGTGCATTTGTAATCAATTTTTAGCTGAAAACAGGGGTATGTATAAGGGCCATAATTTTTGAAAAAAGTTCTTGAAAGTCTGTAAATAGGGGGTAATATTTTACTCCACAAACGATCATGCGTTATATTTGAATAAAAAGTGACACAACTAGTTGAGGGGGGTTTGTCCCAAGGGGTAATTTTTCTCAGGTTATACTGGTCCTTAGGGTAAATTGTCTGGGGGGGGGGGGGGGGGGTTGTCAGGGGGTAGTTGTCCTTTGGGGTAATTGTCAAGAGGTACCTAGGCCACATAAAAAGAATTTTTTTCTCATACCTTTCTATTTTATAGCCATCCCTAATTTTATTGTCATTTAATATTTTAGTTTTGAAATCAAATAAACAACAATCAGAGGACATCTAGACAATGGGATCAACAAAAATCTTTTTTTTGGTTGCAATTTAACTATTTTTCAGCATACATGTATGTAGTGGATTTACAAATGATTTTTTTTCTCAAAACCCAATAGCATTTCTACTGAAAATGTATTAACTATCAAATACGGTACCATAGAATCCCTCAGCCGAACTTAATTTTTTTGAAAAATTCAGCTGAGAAACCAATAAAGAAATCAATAAAGAAATCAATTTTACATGGCCTTATCCTCAAGGTTACTTGGCAGGGGGGTACTTGTCCTCAGGGGTAATTATCAGGGAGGGGTACTCTTTGTCAAGGGTAATTGCCCGGGGGGGGGGGGGGGGGGGGGGGTAAAGAGTAGCACTTGTCATATCTTCCATGTAGAGGTGGAAACGCCATATATCAGAAGAAGGAAAAGCAATAAAAATATTTTAAAATGAAATAAAAGGTACATACCAGAAATAAAACAGGCTATTTATGAGAAGACTAAAGCACTCTGGGGATACCATATTTGAAAATGATGGGGGCACCGAGCCCCCATCCCCTGGTACCGCGGGCTCTGTCCTTCATACGACAGGAATGCTGTCCTAGGGCTACCTAGGGCTAACTGCACGAGGGGGCAACCTTCCAAGAGCTAATTGTCCTCCAATCTACACTTACATGATTTTGGAATTGAGACTATGGAGACTCGGAGAACAATAATTGTGCGTGAGGTGTAAAATATAGACTTACCAACTTTTTGCAACTTGTAGACTTTTTTCATCTTTTATGCTTCAAGTCTTTACTGGAGTTACTGAAACCCTGAAATCAGAAAATTTGTCACGAGATGGACATATTTCCGAGTTTTTCCTGAAATAGCTATACAAATAAAAAAAGTGTTGCTAATTTCAACTGATATGATGCAACGTTACCTGACCTCTCATAAAAAAAAAGCATTTTCAAATAACTGCATCTCTGTATCTACTCAGTCAAATTCGTTAATACCGACATATTTAAAAGGATAATTACAGTCCTCAAATTTCATCTCAGGACAGATTCCACGAGCTTCACGGTAAAATTCATGGTTAAAGCAAAGGTCAAGAGGTCATTGAACTTGAAATTTGCACATGGAAAATAATCACAGATTTTCGATAGCTAATGTAATTGGCCTTCATGTGTCAATACAGACAAACTGACCCAGTGTAACCTGTAGAAATATGGTTGTTTGAAAACTTGCATGTGGATGGTGTGCCATAGAGTGAAAACCTTTTGGTCGACAGAGCTAAAACTTCACATTTCAGCTTTAAAAGCCTCAATTACCCCACATACCAAATTGAGGCCAATTTGAAGGGGTAGGGTTTAAATTCTACAAAAGTCTGGGTGATTTGACATGGAATGACATTTCGCTAACATCACTTTTGATAAAATATATAATGTAAACTAAGATGCATTACAGGAAGGTGAATATCAAAACAGTTACCTTCTAACTTAACTCTTTAAAGATGAAGTTGAGTTCTGGGACCCGTTTCACAGAACCTTTTTTCAATGACAAATGACAAAAATCAGTGACAAATATGCTGATAACTAATCAGCAGCAAGGATTTCACTAGCTTAAAACAAAAACTGTCATTTGTCACTGATGGCAATTTTTTGTGTGAAATGGGGCCCTGGTCAAGCGACTACATTGCAAAAGATACTATCTGGAAGCAATTTAAAAAGGTTGATCATGGAGCACAGAATTAGTGTACACTGCGAGGTTTTGGAGTCAGTAAAATGATGCATGAGAACGCCTGACTTCAGTCTTCACTGCACACAGAAATGTGTAACGTATACGAGTTCCATCCAGACATTTCAGCTATTTCTAATAATTTTTTAAACCAAAGGAATTTGAAGAGCGATTATTTTCTGGGGCGTTTTTCTATGATATTCTCCCAAACTACCATAAAAGACTGAAAATCTCACGCCTTACCCTTCACCTTTCACAGAACTCAACCTTCCCTTTACAATGCTGATTTTGATTTAAAAAAGGCTTCATTGTAAAAAGAAGTCACCTTAAAATGTCATCTTCCATGGGAGACACTTCATTAAATTTCATGATTTTGTTGCAGCATAAAATTCAAGCTTGTAAATAACCTGATTGATTATTAAATCTAAAGAGTGGATTGATAAATAAATTTCTGAAAAATATAAACTTTATCTATTAAGAATTAACCAAATTTTCATAATCATTTCATGAAAAAAGGGTAAGAAGAAAAATTATGCCAAATTTACGGACTGTTAAACAGTGTAGTTAAATGATGCCAAAAATATGACGTCAAAATACATGCTTAGGGACATGTTTTAATACTATGTGTTATGCGCTATACAAGAACGGTTAATTATTATTATTATTAAAATATGCCATGGTAAACTCAACTGTGTCAGCTTACTCCCATTCTTTTAGCGTACAGTATATATCATACTGCACTTCACATTTTTGTCTAATTAAGACAATTATTTTGGTGCACTATAAATATTCATTACCAATAATTAACATTTACATTGCAACAAGATAATAAAAGGAAAATTATTCTGAAGAAAAAAAATATTTGGAAGGAAAAAAACGCACAAGAAAACAATCTTTCTGAGACTGTATCACATTATTCGGTTTTAAGAATTATTTTTGACAAGATCTGAAATTCCATAACGATAGCTCCCTTGAAAATGGGCACAATCAATCAAAAATATATAAGCTCTGTATACTACTGTCACTTATGGTCAACGGAAGCACATTTACAAGTACTTTTTGATGCACACTAATCAAATAAAATAGATCTTGAGCATTTATTACTCTTTTTATGATAGAGTCTTAGAAATAGTGTTCCTCAAGCCACCCTGACAATTGCAAACATTTTGGTCCCATACTTTGCAGCATTGTGCATGCTAAGTCGTGCCATTTAATAGTAAAGAGCACGGTCAACACTACAATTCTGCAGCATGCTGTGCTACAAGTTAGTCTAAGAATTGAATAACAATCATGGGGGCCCCATGGCACGCATTGACACGTATGCATCTTTTCGGAATTTATCAAGACAAATTTCAGAAATTTGAAAAGTACTACCACGCACTTTTTCATCTGCCGGGCTACCCAACGAACACCTCATGACAACACCCCTCATTGTCCTGCTATGGCAAGCCAAATTGCACGCTATCATGGCCTAAATTGTAAATACATGCAAGTGTCAGGGTAGCTAAAGACTTGATTTTTTTTTTCTTCCTACTGTTAGAAACTAAACTTTGTGACCTTTCAAGCCAACTTGTATTTGACTCATAAACCACCTAAAGACCACCGCACACTTTACGATCTGCCTCCGATCCAATTTATGAAGAATCTGCAATATCATTACCAAATTGGCTCAGAATCGTAGTGACGTCAGACCTGTTGTATGATTATATACGATTTCAAGCTGATTTGGCTTTGATTTCAACTAAAAAGGCTTCAATGTACTGTAATCTTTATTACGAGTATGCATATTTTCATTAAAAATCTCAATTTTGTTTACATTTCTGCATCCAATTTAATTGCTATTTCTTCAAAAATTGGATCACAGTAAGATTGTATAATGTGCGGTGGCCTTTACTATCATCCGATCTGTTCTTCGAAGCTTCTGGTCCTCTGTAGGGTCAAGGAAGGTAGAACAGTTCTGTCATCTCCTCTTCAGGATGGGTCCTTTCACAGCAGGTACAGGAGTCACTATCTGCTTCTTCTTAAAGTCACATCTTGTGAGGCACGTCCTGAAGTGAAAGGAAAGAAAATAAAAAACCCTCTAAATGATGACGACGATAATGATATTTCAGCTGATTATTTGAAAACCAAGTAATAATGGTACGATAATAATAATTTGTATTTTTTTTTTGGTACTTAATATTTACTTCAAAGGGAAAATCTGGTCCAAGACTAACAACTTGCTTTTGATAGAAGCAGAAAATAAAGAAAAAGTGATCCTAACAAAAATTGATGTAAAATTGGAAAGACATTGATGAAATTAAGAAGGTTATGAATTTTTAATAACATAATCAAATAATGTAAAAGTATGAAAACACAAGACAAATTGGCAACTCTGCTTGTGACGTCAGCCCCTCACAACTAATCAATTGCTTTCTTTGTATTACCATAATGATATAAATTTCCCATTGATTTTCAAACATTTGATTTTTAGTTGATAAAGTGTACCAATCCTTCAAATGTTATTTCTGAACGAGATATTTAAATTCTTTACACACACTTTTGATTGGGGTATTTGGGTGACTATAGATCCTTTTTTACCTAATGCTAGCAACTAAACGTTGTGACAATTCAAACCAACTCATAACTGACTTACATAAAGAACGAGTGTCAATCAATCCGCCCAATGAGGAAACTCTGGAAGAGGAACGGTTCTGCTATCTCTTCTTGTACAAGCAAGGTTTCAGAATGGGTCCTTTCACAGCCGGCACAGCAGTCACTACCTGCTTCTTCTTGAAGTCAAAGAGATAGAACATCTTGTTTGACACATCCTGTGAGTGAAAGAAAAGAAAATGAAAATCCTTCTTAATGATGATAATGGTGACATTTCACACAATAAAGGTGTTGTGGTCTAGTGGATGAATCACCGGACTTGTGGATCACAAGGTACAGGGTTCAAATCCTAGCCATGCACTAACCTCCTTTGGCAAGACATTAATCTGCATTTGCCACTCTCCTCCCAGGTGTAAATGGGTACCTGGTATGCTTGAGCGTTAGTTACTTTTGGCGGCTTGTTTATAACCAGGGTATTAATGTCTAAGCAACATAAGCATCTCAGCATGATGGATATGAGCGCTATATAAAACTAGATGGAACTTCGACTGCGCGCAGTCGAAATGATGCCTCCGTCATAGAGCAATTTACAAACCAAAACAGAAGAAATTTTTGATATTCAAGTTCAATTGTAATCCATTAACAGGTTCTCAGAATATTGTGATTACAAGCAATTTCTCATATACATATATGACCCTTTGATCTTTGACCTCATGACCCTAACATCTACTCAGTTCATTGGCTCTGCAAGATGTCCCGAGTTAAATAGTAATCCATCTGTCAGTTCTAATGAGAATGCGTTCACAAGCTATTTTTGCATACATAATGAGCCCATGACCTTTGACCTTTGACCTCATGACCAAAGATTCTACTCAGTTCATTGGCTCTGCAAGATGCATACATGATTTAAGTTTGGCAGGAATCCTTCAATCGGTTCTTGAGATAACGCGATCACGAGCAGTTTTTGCATACATAATGAGCGCTGTGACCTGTGACCTTTGACCTCGTGACCCCAAAATCTATTCAGTTCATCGGCTCTGCAAGATACATACATGACCTAAGTTTGGCAGGAATCCTTCAATCGGTTCTTGAGATAACGCGATCACGAGCAGTTTTTGCATACATAATGAGCACTGTGACCTTTGACCTTTGACCTCGTGACCCCAAAATCTATTCAGTTTATCGGCTCTGCAAGATACATACATGACCAAAGTTTGGCAAGAATCCATCAATCGGTTCTTCGGATAACGCGATCACGAGCTGTTTTTGCATACATAATGAGCCCTGTGACCTTTGACCTTTGACCTCGTGACCCCAAAATCTAATCAGTTCATTGGCTCTGCAAGATTCATACATGACCAAAGTTTGGCAGGAATCCATCAATCGGTTCTTTGGATAACGCGATCACGAGCTGTTTTTGCATACATAATGAGCCCTGTGACCTTTGACCTTTGACCTCGTGACCCCAAAATCTAATCAGTTCATCGGCTCTGCAAGATACATACATGACCAAAGTTTGGCAGGAATCCATCAATCGGTACTTCAGATAACGCGATCACGAGAACGGGACGTACGAACGGACGTACGGACGGACGGACGGACAACCAGAAAACATAATGCCTCCGGCTACTTCGTAACGGAGGCATAAAAATCAAACATATCTTGATATGAACAATGTTAGTGATATCAGAAAGAACCATAGTCAATGGTTGTAGTAAGAGGTTTTCATTATTGTATGTCATATAGGACACATTGCATGGAGTTGCGCTAATAGCCCTACTAGGGCTTTGGTCAGACAAAATGATACATTTCACATCGACTTATTACCTTAGCTACACAATTTTTGGTAATAATAATAATATTAAAGGGAAATCCAACCCAAATAGACAACCACTCTAAAAGAAAGCAGAAAAATAAGAGAAGCGAACTGATGAAATTTTCAATCAAATCTGACTAAATATAAGAAAGTTATGAATTTTTAAAAGTTGTAATTACTATAGGTTTGGGCACTTCAAATTGGCTAGAGCGATAATGTCAGTGTGATGTAGTGCCAAACTACTTTCCCATCTGTTTGAATAATTTTTCCCCCCCAAAATTCATGGCCTATTCTTTTTAGAGCACCTATAACTGATGGCAGCACATTGCTGTCCACATTTTTAACAGCACATCACTGTATATATATATTTTGCACCTGGATTGAGGCCTACACACATTTTGGACATGGCACACACCACACTGCAGTAAATGGGAGAGTATTTGCGTCCTACGTCACAATCCACTGACCAAATATTTATTACTTTCTTACTATTGGTCCGAATCATTTCAAACTTGCTATTCTTTTTCTGCTGTCATACAAATCAACTTATAACAAGGGTTGGATTGCTCTATAATAATAGTCACTTAGTGGAGTCTTGTACAGCACTCATGTCCTGCACATTGTCACTCCTGGTACTCTATTGTTATTACCCCAGCTTTAGGGCAGCTGCCATTACTGCACTCAAGCATTTTAAGGAATTATTTCCAGCCAGGGAATGTATGGGACATCAAATAACTACATATTCTCAAGAAGAAATAATCAGTGGAAAATTTCCTCACCTTGGTTTTGAGCTGAAACCCTAAAGACTTCATAACAGACAGGAAGGAGGCAGGAGAGGTGAAGCGGCTTGCAACCTCGGCAACTTTCAACAGACCCCTACAAGAAGGATGGGAAAGAGTAAGAAACCAGTGAGTCAGATGTACGACACATACGCGTATGCATGCTCCAGTGACTATAGCTCGGCGGTCAATTTCCTACACTAACTGATTTATTAATCGATCAAACAATCATGAATCATCATTCATTCATTTCATAGCATGAGGCCATCACAAATCTGTACAACTTGTGAAATTCATAAACATCTTATGCATGCGACAGTTCATGGTTTGAAGTAATGTCCTTTAGCAACCTTTAAAGCTATATTTGCCACTCTCAACCAAGGTGTATTGCGAGATTCTACAATTTCAAATAAGGCTTGTTCAGATAAGAAGCAGTTAACCACAGCAGGGTTTTATAAAACGTGTATTCTGCACACAACAAAGGCCCTATGTGTATACACTGAGCTCCGTGTTAGAAGATACCGAAATTTGAAGTGTCATTTTGCTTTTAAAAGCTGCAGTTTATGACATACCGTATTTGCCGGCGTAAAGGCCGCAGTATTTTTGGAAGAGAAAATATCAAAAATTTGGGGTGCTGCCTTTACGGCGAAACAGGAAAAAAAAAAAAAAAGTCAAAACCAGCACGAATTTGTACATATGGGACTAGATCTACGAACGGTACAATAACTATACATTTCCACACATCTTACCGACAATTTTATCTTGCATTGTTGACATGAAGACGAAAATAAACTTCCAAAAACAACATCTGCCGATAGATTTTGATCTAAGTTCGTGCCAATGCATTGCAAAAGTAAAAGAAGGGCCCGTTTAACGGAGCCGCCGCAAAGCATCCAGCATGCGAAGTCGCCATTTTCAGTCACATCAACATTTGTACGCAAGAGATCGAATCCCGACTTTGGCAAAAGATTTTTTTTTTTTTTTTTTTTTTTTAAATGTCAAAATCGGGGGTGCGGCCTATACGGCGCTGCGGCCTTATCGCCGGCAAACACGGTAACTAAAAGAGGCATAAGGAAGTGCCACAAGTGCTAATGTGATATGCATCATGATAATAATATCAAATCAATTACTATTTATGATTCTTTCATTGCCTTTCAAGACCCCAACACAGACACTTACCCTGTTTTGAGAACTCTGTTGGCTTCCTTCACATAATCCATCCAATTAGTACCCATCAGAGCAAGACAAAACACTGCGACATCTAACACACCGTCCTTCAAGGGTACCTGTCAAAATAAACACAAACATAGTGAAACATACATCTTACACAATACCAATACAGTGCAAATAATAGAGTGGAGTCCAACTGATACAGTCAAGAGACTTGAGACCTAATTGACTCAAAATTCATTTATATTTTCAAAGCAAGATTAGATGAACATTGGTGGTCTGAATGATTTTATCTTTCGTGATCAAAACCATCTCAACCCTGCTACCATCCCTTGGCACGCCTCGGGTGATAGCAGGATTTTACCTCCCTGAGAACCTGTAAAAACAACTACCGTATTTGCCGGCGATAAGGCCGCACCGCCGCATAGGCCGCACCCCAACTTTGACATTTCAAAGAGGGGAAGGAAAAAAAAGGAGAAAAACAAAAAAACAAACAAACAGACAAAACAAAATAATCATAATTTTCTCGAAAACACTATTTTTTTTACAAACTGATACCAAATTCATCAATATTCTTATAATTTACCGGAAGTTTAGCAAAAAAGTGATCGCAGGCAGATTTGGTGTCCGATTTATACCCCTACCACAATGTACGGTGTAATGCGAAACTGCATGAAATGGAAAACAAAATGGCGACTTCGGATGGATGTTCGCGTCAGCTCCGTTAAACGGTCCCTTCCTTTACTTTTGCAATGCATTGGCACAAACTTAGATCAAGATCCATCGGCTAATGTTGTGTTAGGACATTTTTTTTCGTCTTCATGTCAACAATGCAAGATAAAATTGTCGGTAAGATGTGTAGAAATGTCCTGTACCATAGTGGTATAGTTATTTTACCGTTTCCAGTCCCATATGTGCAAATTCATGCTGGTTTTGACTTTCGTTTTTTTGTTTTTTTTGTTTGCCTTTACGCCGGCAAATACGGTACATGTTTTGTGGCTTGATACAAATGTTCCAAATAAAGATATTTCAATTCGCAGAATGCAGACTGCATATATTACGGGTTGTTAGGTAGGGCAAGTCATACTGTTTGTCCTACCTAGCTACAACTAATGTCTGTCATTCTGATTATTGACATACCAGTATTTGTAATGGGCGATTGAAATAATTTGCATTGAGGCACTTCACATTACGAAAATGGCCTATTTGATTTCTTTCCTATTAAAGGTACTATGACATCAAACCCCCTCAAATTCAAATTTTAATTGTTGTACGGTAAATTTTCATCGTGAATCTGATGATGAAAACAATTTCCAGTCATTTTCAATCACTCAGCTGCAAAATGAGAAAAAGAAATATGCTTGGGAACGCCCCCTGAAATTGTTGACGCTGGGTTGCGATTACGTAATCCCCTGTGACGTCAGCGGGAGAACACAAAGCGGGCTTGAGTGAGAGTAAAATGCGTGATTGTATTGGCATTGTGTGTTGATTTGTAAAACTACGGACTGAACATTGCTGCTTTGGAAGTTATTTTTTTTCTGGGAAAATGGATCACTTGTGTGAAGGTGACAACGAGGATGGATTCTTTGTCTGACAGAGAAGAAAATCTGCCTGAGTTTGAAGAGGAACTTGAGGGAAAAGGTGAAGTTTCTGCTGCTACTGAGCTGCGCCTGGTATATTCATTGCCTACACTACAGTTTCAGCCTGCCTTTCCAGATCCAGTGAGACTCGACTGAGAGAAGTTGAAACAATTAATTTTGTCGGCGTTCGTGATAATCAGGAAGACATCGAAGAAAGACTTGGCCACAATCATTGGTGAGAATGATGTAAATAGCTATATATAGGAGCATTTATAGTTATTAAATTAGTATTTGGGTTGAGACAATCGGCACTATTCCGGGCACTATTCACATGCGATGCGATGTACCCGGTGATGCTGCAGCCGCTAGCCGTAGGCCTACACCGCCCAGCTGCGGGGAGGTACTGGAGGCCGGGCCGGAGTGCGTGGCATGGCTTACGTAATGAAACTGTCACTGACTGAGCTGAGCTGACCGAGCTCCGAGCCAGGATTTGCGACACCAATCAAAACAATACTCGAGCCTTTGTATTGTATGATTGGCTTCTAAGTTCTATTTACTTTCGATCTAGATTATTGAAGAAAAAAAAATTTCAGAAAAAAAAACACACAGAGTCTAGGGGACTAGATCCTAGATCTAGGTCTATCTAGTCTGCAATGAAATGTTAATTCTGAAACTAATAACATCTTGAGTCAAACATTAACTGGATACATCATGTACATGTCCTATTTTTTCACACGATTTTAGCGCAGACAAGATTAGATATACAAAATAAACAACTTTTTGTTTATACATTCATTCAGGTGTTCATGCAGTCGATCATGGAGGCTGCTTTGCAATGCTGAAGGTCGTGGAGACCATCTGCTTCAAAGAAGTTCCCAGTTCACGCAGACAATGTTATGGGCCGGAGGAGTTATACTGCATCACAGACCGTCCTGGTTTCAGGAGTGTTTGTCTAGAGTGCAGGGGGGTACTTGAGACCGCCTTCTACCAGTACCGCCAGCATATACGGCCAACAAGCATGACAAGATGTCACTGAAAATGAGTGAGTGTACATACATTTTAGTTCCACGGTGGGATTTCGTTATAACAAACTCCTTGGACCAGAAAAACTACCTGTTTTATCGAAACCATGTTATATCATCAGGGCTAAAACACAATAGAATACAAAGAAGTTGGACCAGAAAATTAACAATAGTTTGTTAGATATATCTCATTAAGGTTCACTGTACAGGCACAATTTTTCGGGAGGGGGGGGGGGGGGTGCCAAATTATTGAATTCAATATGTATCATTACTATGTCATCAAGATTTTCTAGATGAGACATTAAACAATATTGGTGATTCTCTGTTACAAAGTTCGAACCCCACTGTTCTTGTCCCTCCCCCATCGCTGCCTCACACACTTCATTACTCATGTATATATTGTAAAATAAAAATGGTGCAAAGGATTAAAATGGATATGATTGATAGAAGTGGCGGTTGTTGCATTCCATGGTCACATGCCATCACTGCTTATGCGTCAAATTGTAGTGACGTTCCTAATAGTAGATGCAATTTTAAAGGAAAATTAAAGTTGAATGATATTGAGTGGAGATAAATGGGAAATGTGCACTTTCCCTTTTATTTCTGTACATGTATATATTTGTCTTGTCACAACTGTTATAGATAGGAGGTAGACTTACTATCCCTAATGGTTTGTGTGTTTTGTTTTTGTTTTTTCATTGCAGGAAAAACAGACACGCTGCCTATCGTCAGCTAGCTAGATGGTGCTGGGGATACCTGGGAAGATCAGTGCAAGTTTCACTGCTGTCCTGCGCTGTACCTCAGATCCGGACAACTTTACTTTCCTCAGAATACAGAGGATTTGAAGAGGAATATACAGATATTTGTTGGGCATGGGGGTGTAGTGTGATTCATTCAAGACATGGATGTTTGCTTTTCATTTTTTAAATTTATTTTGAAGGTGACATTGATATGTTACTTACTTTTCTAACATTGTGGCTAAAATAATTTACCTTAGTTTAATGCGTTACAAAGCTTACTAAAAAGGGATACCCGTAAGTTTTTGAATTTCCACATGATATAAATACCTTCTAGAGCTATAGGTTATCTTCATTTGTAAATGCTTCTTATCTCCTCAAGGTTATGTATTTATTTATTTATTATTATTATTATATTTCCTCAGGGGGGGGGGGGATTCTTTCAAATTAAACTTGTGATCTACTGTCTGTAGGTTTAAAGTAGATTAACATATGAACTCTCAAAAGGGTTAATTCATCCTAGAGCAGTTATTTGCTGTCAGCCAATGTTTTCTGTTTAGAGCTATAAAATACGGGAAAGTAAATGTGTTCTCTTATAATAACTACTTATTTTTGTATGATATATTACAGCTACATATTGTACTAAAGAATATCTCATTTGCCTCGTCTCTCAGTTGATGCCCACAATCTATGAGTTGATTATTATTGTACTATGAAGGAGGTAGACCACACTTGTCCTAACCTGCATAGTGTACAGTTCAGCAGTCTTTCTTGTAGAACAATTTCCCACCAGGTGTTAAAGGTACTACATAGGTGAACATTTTCAATAGTTGTCATTTTTAGAGGAATAATGGATGAAACTGCAAGGCAATCATTACTTCCGTGCCTCTTGTTTTCTGATGCACTGTGGGATAAATATTTCAGCATGTGTTTTATACCTTAAAATGCATCGGTAAATTCAGTATAATTAAATCAGTTCTTTTGAAAATCGTAAGTAAATACTAGAAAGTAAATAGATACATGTCCGACATATTCAAATTGATATTGTATTTATTAAGTCTGTGATTACCCCATCGTTTTATGCTGTTTAGGGTCAAGACAAGACAGAGAAACTAAATGGCAATTTGAAACTTTATTAGCTAATATGGGAATTAGAAATGTTAAGTACATGCACCATTTCATGATGTAGCTATTATAGGACAAATCGACCTTCCAAATGGTTTATATATTTTTTGTGTATTTTTCTTCCATGTCTTTCACGCAAAGCAACATCTTACATACACTCACTCTTAGCTTCAGTTAATGTGATAAATTAAAGTTGACCAATCCCCCAAATATATATTGTGCTTTCTTTTTATCTGTTACTTTCTTCATACTCCTAAAATGTTAACCCTAACAATGCTTCATAGTTGTTGCAGTTTATTTTATTCAAAGTAAACATAACACATACTATTTCATTCAAGTGATTGGTCCTCTTGCAATCTTGCTTACTTCACTTTTCACATGATTAGTAAACAATAAGGAGTGCATTGAATTCAGGATGGAAGAGCAGAGAGGTATAGAACGAGATGCAAAGAGATATTGTGTGTGTGTGTGTGAGAGAGAGAGATAGAGAGATTGCAAATACAAGAGATAAAGCTAGGAAAAAATATTGCAAGAGATCGGGACAGAGTCATTTCCAGAGGAAAAAAAAAAAAAAAGTGAAATTCCCCCTACATTTTCAAACCAAGCCAAGGCACTGACTGGCAGGGGGTAATAATATTTTTTGGACCGCTGAAGGGAGTTTTATTTTTTTCTCCAAGTGGTTGATGGAAAATAAAAACTGTAGGCCTACCATCAGTACTTCTAAAAATTGAAAGAGGAACAATAAATTAATTGAATTGAATGTTGAATGCTGAAGATGGCATGCACCCCATCATCAAAATCACAATCGTCGAAATCTGCACTGTACACTACACAGGAGCCTGTGCGTGGGGCCGCTCCAACTTGCCCGAGTCAACTTCACTTTAGCTGTCAAAATCAAATTCGGGTCTTTGGGGGGAAAGATGTAGGCTTACGCCGTCCTGATTCGTATTACAGCAGCCATCCACGATACACCTCAACGGCATTGTGAAATTCAAAGGCAAATATCAAGAAAATTGCCGGAGGAATCAAACTTTTTCGTTAAAAAAAAAAAGTTGCAACGCTAAAGCACGTAAACACAATGGAGAAAAACTTTCGCGCAATGCAGCAGAAGGTCAGAAGATTCTCCCGATGACGTAGTGTCACGTGACTTGCGAGATCGCTGAGTTTGGGGCAATTTTGGGAGGCGGGGCTTAGGAGCGTGGGAAATCATGTAATTTATGAAGGAAAAACACTGTAACTCATTAACCGTTCATTCTAAAAATTCCAAAAAACGAGAGATTGATTATATTGGTATTTTCTACACGATGTGAAGCATGAATATTTGTATTGCAGAGGACCTTTAAACTGAACTTACCTTCTTCGTATCACAGACAGTCACATGTTTATTCATGGGATAGAGGTCAAAGGAATGAACTTTCTGTTTGACCGAGCGGGCTATCTTAGCATCCCCACATCCAAAGTCTCCAACCACCAAGGAAGCTGGTCTAAAAACATTCAAATAGTAAGAAAAATCAAATATGAGAGAGCAAATTGAGAGAAAAGGAATCAAAATGGAATCAAACTGTAAGTTATCAACTTTGTATGATAAAATTACTTGTTGAAGATATAGTTGAGTATCAGTCATGTGATTTCATAATGAAAGAAAGCGAACTGGAAGAAAATAAGTGTGTATACTGTGAGGTTTCTGAACGATCAAAATGAAAACTAAAAAAAAATTAAATACATCTTGCTGAAAATTACATGCACTGCACACAAACTTGGTATATGGGACTACACAGAAATGTGGCATGAAATTCTGGTCTTACTAACTGTTCAGCTAATTCTCGTCATATTTTTAATATAAGGGCATTTAAACAGCGATCCTTTTAAAAATTTCAGAGGCATTTCTGCTATGATGTTCTTTCTTACTGACAAAGAAAGGACATGCATATTTTTGTTACTCCATCCCTTTTTGAGAATTCACACAGATGCAGTGAATAAAACAAATAGTAACTGATTTCTACTTCTTCTTCTTTCTTTCTTTCAGGAGAGGGGGGGGGGGGGTCGATGTTCATGGTTAAAACTGTGGTACTATGCCCCTTGACTTTGTCTTTGGGCATGGTACAGTTTCAATATCACCTTGGTCAATAGTGCCTCTCAGACTTTACTAACCTTTTCTTCAATACCTCAATAAAGATGTCCACAGGATTGGAAGGCCACTGCTTGACTTGCTGGGTGAACCCTTCATGGTAAGTCAAGAAAGCTGATGCATCAGCAGCAAACATATCTTTGGCCTTGTCCCCCGTCACCTTGTATAGTTGTTCATTCAGGAAGCGAAACTGAGAGGACTTGAGCTGTGATTCCATCTGAATCTTGAGACTGACATCAGGTTTCATCTGTGTCTTTCTCCTGGTGTTTGCCAGGATGAGATTGGATTTTGTATCACCATGGTTACTGGTATCCGGAATATCATCTTCATCTGTGCCTTTCGATTCGCTGTCATCTGTACTAGGTAAATCAATCTTGGACTCATCACTCATTTTCTTGTCCATAATCTCTGCTTGTTCTTGTTTCTCAGTTCTCAACTGCTGCTTAGCAAGTTTTCTCCTCAGCTTTCTCCTTTCTTTCCCTGAAAGGTTTGCTTCAGATGATTCAACAGAACTTTCTTTCACATCAGTTATCTGACTCTGAACATCATGACCACAGTCTGTACCATTTTCACCTTCTCCAGCTGTGGTTTTGTCTTTAAATTTATTATTTTTCGGCTTTCTCTTTCTGTTCTTCTTTGTCTTATCCTTCGACTGAACAACAGCATTCTCAACTTCATTTATTTCTGTAGAGGAAACATCACTGTTTTGTGTAACAGGCTCATTAAGATCGTGCAAGGCTGTCTCTGAAGAAATGGCTGGAATCTTAGGTCTGAACTTTTCTTTCCTTGCAGGCATCTCGGGGTTCTGAACATCATCGCTACCTCCATTTTGAAGTTTGGCATTCCCTTTCTTTTTCTTTTTCCTTGGTACTGCTTCTTCTTCACAAATACTTTCTCCTTCTGCAGACTGTATCCTCTTCTCCTTGATCGATGGAACTTCTGAGTCGCGTTTCTTGCTCTTCTTTGTTGTTTGCTGCATTACAGAATGAAAATAAAATAAAGTACAAAATTTAATTTTCTCTGAATCTACACGTATGCACAAATAAGTGATTATTTACACATGTGACTGATGAAATAATCAGTATGGCACCACTATTAGACAAGGCTCATAGATTGGCTGACAAAACACAAAATAAAATTAAACTGTAATATCAGGAAAAGAGCAACTTTTATCACATGTGCACAAATCTCTTCTCGAACATACTTTAAATTATTTGTATCCGCCTTGAGCATCTCTAGAGATGGATATGATGCGCTTTATAAATATTATTATTATTATTATTATTATTATTATTTAAACACACTCGCATTTGGAAAAACTAACATCAACTGATAGATAAACATGTCAAGAATCCATACAAATATTTCACAACTTTTACAAAATCAGTCAAATTTACTGTTTTATACGCTACAGCTGCTAAAATTGTCTGGAAAAATGATAGGCTTTCGTAAAAGATGCTCTAACGATCAACATATGGAGAATATGAGATAAATAACAACATGGATGTCATTTCTGAACTGCATTGTGGGACGGGCTTTCAGGGTAAAAGAAGTAGAACTTGATAACATAACGATATCATACGATAGCGAGTCTTTGTCGGCTGCTACGCCGATCACACAGCTGCATGCAGCGCCAATATAGGAAAATGAGACGGCTGCCGGCTGAACGTTATGCGCATGCGCTAAATATAAATGTAAGGCCAAATAAAAACTAGATGGAATTTTGACTGCGCGCAGTCGAAAATGATGCCTCCACCATAGAGCAATTTAAACAAGTTTGGAGTTTAAATCTCCAGTCCTTCTTGAGATATCATGATAACAATCTCAATGTATGGAATTTCATAAGTTGACCTCTGTGACCCTTGACCTTTGACCTACGTGCTCCAAAATCTAATCAGATTGTCTTCCTATGGTGATACACACTATCATTAAGTTTGAAGTTTAAATCTCCAGTGGTTCTTGAGATATTATGATATGGTGATACATACTATCATTAAGTTTGAAGTGAAAATTCTCCAGTGGTTCTGAGATATCGCGATAACGATCTCAATGTATGGAATTTCATAAGTTGACCTCTGTGACCCTTGACCTTTGACCTACGTGCTCCAAAATCTACTCAGATTGTCTTCCTATGGTGATACACACTATCATTAAGTTTGAAGTTTAAATCTCCAGTGGTTCTTGAGATATTATGATAACAATCTCAATGTATGGAATTTCATAAGTTGACCTCTGTGACCCTTGACCTTTGACCTACGTGCTCCAAAATCTAATCAGATCGTCTTCCTATGGTGATACACACTATCACTAAGTTTGAAGTTTAAATCTCCAGTGGTTCTTGAGATATCATGATAACAATCTCAATGTATGGAATTTCATAAGTTGACCTCTGTGACCCTTGACCTTTGACATACGTGCTCCAAAATCTAATCAGATCGTATTCCTATGGTGATACATACTATCCTTAAGTTTGAAGTTTAAATCTCAAATGGTTCTTGAGATATCGCGCTAACAAACTCAATACAAGGAATTTCATAAGTTGACCTCTGTGACCTGTGACCTTTGACCTACGTACTCCAAAATCTAATCAGATCGTCTTCCTATGGTGATAAATACTATTCCCGAGTCTTAAGTTTAAATCTTAAATGGTTCTTGAGATATTGTGATAACGGTCAAACAGGATTGACGTACGGACGTACGGACGGACAACCCGAAAACATGATGCCTCCGGCACCACCTTCAGTGGCGGAGGCATAAAAAAACATCTTTAGCATCCTGTTTTTTCAAAAAATAGGAAGGAGGCCCTTTTTTTTTTTTTCTTTCAAAATGGCCGCTCGGTACATTTTCCCTGACATTCGGGCTATTTTTCAAGATCGATGGTAGCCGACTTTTTTTTTTTTTTTTAAATCAGAAAAAGATCCATTTTAGCAGTGTTTTTCAAGTTTTTTTTCTTTAAAAAAAAAAAAGAGGAGGCGGCCCCAGGAAGCGGCGGGGACGCTAAACATGTATATTTTTTTTACATGGCCTAAGCTCAACAGTTCTACGTGTGTGGAGTCCCAAAGTTAAAAATTAAAGACGTTATTAAAGTCAGCATTACTCAGCCATTGTGCACGACAGTAATAATTTACTCATAACAAGTATGCTTCTATGTCTGAATCCGACTCGTCCTAAATCTATCTAGAGTAAAGGAGCCCGTAATCGGCCAGCTCCAGTTTTCGGCCGATTGGTTGGATGCAAGGTAAAATCACTCTAAAATACATCGCATAATAGCATAACACATATCCCACACATACCATACCATGCCAGTGTCACTGAAGAACCACATTTGCAATGGAAAATATATCCTAAAATATCACATTTTAGCGATGTAATCGCCGGTCCCGCTACCCAAATCTGAAAAATCGAGTATCTTACGCGTGTCTGTAAGAAATATGGGTACCATAAAATGAGCTTTATTTCAAGTATTTTTCAGATTTAAAGCCTGATTTTGTGCTAGTCGCAAGCACAAAAGTATCTCATCGCATGTATTAAATCAATGCAGCCGCACACCGCGACGCACACACGATATGTCTGTCTAATTCAGATTCCAACTTCCGATCACCGCTGTGCCTGTCTTCGGCCAGGCGAGCACCAGGGAGCTCCGGCGTGGGATACCTGTTCCGCCCGCTTGTGCTGTACATCAGCGCGAAAACGCACGGCGCGCGCGAGCGCTTCCTATTGACTTTGTACATGCGGCCGTAAACTGAAACGCTCGGCCGATAACGGGCTCCAAAACAGTGAAAATTGAAATGAATATTGTCATGGCAATTCGTGATTTTTTTCTGGGATTCTTTTTTTGTTTAAATAATAATAATATTTGCTTCATGATTTGAACAAGAAATGATAATAAATAGGAAGTAAAGAGTCCTAAAAATAGGATTTTGTCTTAAGTGGCCGAAAACGGGCTCCTTTACCAACGAAAAAAATACACGGTGGCGACGGGCGATTCGCCCCCTAAACCTCTGAAATCGCCACGGTAAAAATCAAGACGAGGGCGAAAAAAAATCAATATATCTTGAAAAATCGCCCCCGCCATAAATTAATATTCCCTATGAATTAATAAACCAATTTATTGATGTGTCTGAGTGAAATCTCCGTTCCAACTACCAACTCCAAAACTAGAAACTTCCATCAACATTTTAAAAGTTTTGTGAGTTGCAGCGGATCGGCGGTCGTACCTACTGTAGCTAGATCTACAGCGGTATCCGCCTGCCTGCGCCTAAGCTCCCGGCGGCCGGACAGGCCACCGGCTCCGATGTAGTTTCGTGCACAGCATGATCAATGCATACGCAGTTCGCACACTTTCACAATACACAGAAACGTACTAGCTCAGCTCCAGCGCGCGCCCGAACGCTCCTAGTATGAAGCAAATAAGTATTTGCGAGTGACGAGAGCTGAACTGCTAGCGACCAAATTGGTACGTAATATGTTTATTTAGTCTTTTTTCTGGCCCTAATTTTTATCATGGACAATGCAATCCCATTTGAAAAAATGTTATTCCGTCTAAAATTGTGTTATTTCGTCTAAAATTGTGTTATTTATAAGTTAAAACCATTAAATGCGAGTATATTTTTACTGTTGTCCCACATACTGATATATTTTTAATAACGAAACGTGCAAAATCAATGCCGGATTTTTCCCTGTAAAATCGGTATAAAGCAAGTTTCGTACACAGAAATTGAATTTTGTTATAAAAAAAAACGTAAATAAATATATAAAGGATGTTCCTACTCCTCAGAATTTTTCTTACAACTGTTTAATTAAATAAAATTATTTATATACGATCGATGCCAGGCCAATTGTCATGAGTGATGATGACATCAATTTCTGTCTACGAAATGAAACTAGCTTTGGCTTGGCCTTTAGAATTAGAGTCTATAAAAAAAAAAATAAGGCCATGATTTTGCATGTTTCGGCATAACAAATAGACCCTACATCGGTATGTGGGACAACAGTAAAAATATTTACTCACATTTAATGGTTATAAATGGTCTAAATAACACAATTTTAAAGGGAGTTGGTCTACATTTTTTTTTAATGGGATTGCATTGTCCATGATAACAATTAAATTTGGGACAGAAAAAAAGACTAAATAACATATTACCTACCAATTTGGTTGCTAGTAGTATGATGGCTAAGGAAAAACACAACTTATTGTTACAGCTTGCAATATGGCTTTAAGGAAGTAGCCCCTTGGTTTTTTTTAGGCAATGGGGAAAAGTAGCCCCCATAAAAAAATTGATTCCTAGCCCGCGTGTCAGTGATAATATTTTCTTAGGATATGAAAAACGAACAGTTAAACAAAACACTCCTTTTGACAAGTTTTAGTTACCGGTACATGTATATGTAAATCATAAAGCCACACGTTTAACACAAAGTGAATAAATCATGGGTATCTGAATGTCTGCAATACTCTACATGACTACAATTGTATCTATATTTGCCTTTGCTTGGAATTTAATTAGGTAAAACCGTGTTTAAAAAAATACAACCTTTAAAAAAAAAAGCCCCCCTGAGCTCCAAAATAGCCACCGCAAAATAATTAAGGGGGGCTATTCTTTTAAGGGAAAATCTGAAAAGAGCCCTCGTAAAAAAAAAAGTAATTTTTTGGTTGTCCTTTACTCTACTCTCCGAATGAACTCGATGGCAGACGTTGAAATTAAATAAAGAATCTAACAAAAATTTGGCATGGAAAATTTGGAAATCGAGTTATCCCACTGCAAAAAACGTGCCTGCCCTGTACGTTCAGTTACTATAGTTCAGTTGCTTATTGGTTTTCAACTCCTGATAGGCAAAATTGACCAAAAGGCTGATAGGTCTGAGGTTGTTTCCATCCAGACACAACTCACTGCAGTCAAATCTGATTTGGACTCGCTGAAAGTGGACCGACAAACAAATGCAAACAAAGATGTTGGACTCTGTGTGAGTGAAATGGAAGAGAGAGAGGTAAGAAAACTAAATGCTGTGGTTTTCAACGTTCAGGAGAGTGATAGCATAGATGATAAGATTAGGAAAGAGGAAGATACTAACTTGTTTCAGGCAATACTCACACAGATTGATGCTCCACCCACTAAGATCATAGACGTTAGACGTTTGGGGAAATACAGCAGGGAAACGGCCGCTGGCAAACCACGCCCCCTTAGAGTTAGCACCGAAACAGTCAAAGAAAGGGACTCGATCATAAAATCAGCTCCGCGACTAAAACAATTTGTTAACACAAAGAGAGTTGTTATTCGTAGAGACTTAACCCCGATCCAAAGAGAGGAAGAAAAAAACTTATACATGGAATTGCAGGAAAAAAAGGGAGAGTCAGCCCGTCAAGGGGATATGAATGCACAGTGGGTGAGAAGGAGGGGAAGGGTGACCAACATCGGGACATATATAGAAGCAGCACAAGCAAAGAGAATGGAAACAAATGTGAGAAGAAAGACAAACAAAACACCCGTAGAACAAGTAAAAGACCTGGAGAGCCGCGAAGACTTCCCAGAAATCAACCAGTAGGTTGTAAACTTAATAAACTCAAGTGCATTTATGCAAATGTAGATTCATTATTGAATAAAAGAGATGAATTTAAATCAATCATTACTTTGTATAAACCACAAATAATTGGCATTACAGAAGTTAAGCCAAAGAATTTACGTTACAATGTTGAAGTAGCTGAAGTGAAGCTAGATAGTTTCGATATTTTTCATAATCTCTACGAAAATGGCCGTGGGATTTGTTTGTATATATGTAAGAGCCTCAAAGCAGAGGCCTATACAAGTTTTTCTGTTAGTAGCTTCAAAGAAGCAGTTTTTGCCACAGTTGATTTTCAGGAAGGTGGTAAACTCCTTGTAGGTCTTTTTTATAGAAGTCCAAACGCAGATAACCGTGTAAATGATGGGTTGTGTGCACTTTTCCAAGAAGTGGGTCAGAGTACCTTTCAGGATGTTTTGTTAATTGGGGATTTTAATTTTCCAGACATAGACTGGGGATTAGAATCTTGTACAAAGGGTGTAGAGCATCCAGCTCATAAATTTATTGAGAGCACTAAAGATGCTTTCCTAGTACAGCACCAAGTTCAGCCTACACGGCACCGTAGTGGCCAATGTTCCAATGTCTTAGACTTGGTTTTTACAGCTAATGAACATGCTATTGCAGATATTACAACCTCTGCCAGTCTTGGCAGAAGTGATCATTATACATTGATTTTTGACATGAAAATAAGAGGCCAAGGCGCCAAAACTGGAGAAACAAGATACATTTATGATAAAGCAGACTATGATGCAATGTATGATAAGATTATGGAAATTGATTGGAATAATGAATTTTGGGAGATGTCCATGGAAAAATCATGGTCTTTCTTCAAAACTACACTGTTAGACATCTTTAATCGTTATACACCAAAGAAAACACTAAACGTAAGTCAGAGGAAAAAACATTGGATGAACAGAGAGACTCTGGAAGTGGTTAGAGAAAAACATAGACATTTCAGAAAGTGGCAAGAGATGAAAAGCGAAAAAAATCGGGAAAAGTATTCTAGTGCAGAAATTGAACAGCAAAGACGTTGTTATAGTAGATCCAGCAACCAAGCAAGGTGGCAGTGTAGGAAGGCGGTGAGTTCATATGAGAAATATATAGCCTCAGGAGTTAAGAAGAATGCAAGAGCCTTCTGGTCATATGTAAACTCAAAAATAACAACTCGGGAAAGTGTCTGTAATTTAACCAAACCTGATGGGAGTAAAACAGAAACGGATCAGGAGAAGGCTGAGGTTTTGCAAGATTTCTTCTCTTCAGTTTTCACCCAGGAAGATTTACAAGATATTCCTCTCCCTTTAGATGTTGAATTTGACACTCCACTAGACGACATACAGATTACGTCAGGAGATGTGTTTGAATTACTGCGTAGACTTAAGCCTAATAAATCTCCGGGGCCTGACAAAATACATCCCCGTCTACTAAAAGAACTAGCAGATGTGTTAGCTCTACCGATTTCTTTGCTGTTCCAAAAGAGTCTTGAAAGTAAACAGTTACCCCAGGACTGGAAATCTGCAAATGTTACCCCGATTTTCAAGAAAGGTAACAAAAGTGATAGTAAAAATTATAGGCCAGTTAGTCTAACAAGCATTATTTGTAAAATGATGGAGAATCTTGTGCGTAAGCAATTGCTTGACCATCTTATGACGAATGATTTGATTTCAGTTCACCAGCATGGGTTTGTAGTTGGTCGGTCTTGCATCACCAATCTTTTAGAAGTGTTGGACCAGTGGACACAGATTTTGGATGATGGAGGCACAGTAGATGCCATATATTTGGACTTCATGAAGGCGTTCGATACGGTGCCTCACCACCGACTGATTCTCAAATTAGAATCGTATGGAGTTCGTGGGAATGTACTTGCATGGTTAGAGTCTTTTCTGAGTGGACGGCAGCAAAGAGTAGTGGTCAGAGGCAAGCAGTCTAAGTGGGGCAAAGTCCTGAGTGGAGTGCCGCAGGGCAGTGTGTTGGGTCCATGTTTATTTTTGCTATTTGTCAATGACCTTCCAAAAGTTGTCAACTCAAATATTTCGATGTTTGCAGACGACACAAAGTTGTATGTCCGTGCTGATACTGCAGATTTAAGAAAGCAACTTCAAGAGGATCTGTCACGTATGGAAGAATGGGCTGAGAAATGGCAGCTTTGCTTTCATCCTGATAAGTGTACTGTTTTAAGGCTTGGGAAGTTACCGGCAGAAGCCTCTACAGACTATTGTATGAAAAAGGGGACAGACTCTGTAACACTATCTGTTACAAAAGTAGAAAAGGACCTAGGTGTCCTAGTAGATTCACAACTATCATTTAAAGATCACATTTCCCAAACAGTTCTCAAAGCGAATCGAGTACTTGGAGTTATCCGTAGGACATTTATGTACCTCAATACTGATACTATGCCGTTTTTGTTTAAAGGCCTCGTTAGGCCCATTTTAGAATATGGACAAGCCGCATGGTCCCCATACAGATTAGGAGAACAGAGAATGTTGGAGAGCGTACAAAGACGTGCAACAAAGATTATTCCTGGCCTTAGAAATTTAACATACCAGGAGCGCTTGACCAAACTCAAACTACCAACTCTTGTTCACAGGCGTAAAAGGGGGGACATGATCGATGTGTATAAGTACGTGAATGGCTTGTACACTGTGCAAGAGATGCCCTTTAAGATGAGTACAGAAGATCGAACTCGAGGTCACTCTAGAAAACTTGAAAAGAAATATTCAAGGCTAGATATAAGAAAATACTTTTTTAGCAATAGAGTCGTGGAACTGTGGAACGGTCTCCCAGAAAACGTTGTGGCAGCTGGGTCGGTAAACTCTTTTAAGAATAGACTTGATAGTCACTGGTCAAAGAGTGTACCAGTAAGCCTTCTGTATGAGCCGGTCTAGGTGTTGTCTATTGTCTCATGTTATTACACAACCTCCTCCCTCCACAAAATAGCAGTAATCACGGAAGAATCCTGGATCGATGAACAGGCTTAGACCTACAACATCGTGTTTTAAAGTTAAAGTTAAGTTTACTTTATTTTTGTTTGGAGCCTTGGGCCTGTGCATGTGCTTCATAATCATATGGCTTTCAATAGCACTAACATCAAATGAAATGAATGGGACCGATGTAAAAATTCTCTCTCCCACATTTATCAGACGCTTTTCGAACGCATACCTTTTTAGATTCACATGATTTGAATAGTGATTCATGTAGATTCTGAGACCAAGATTCTTCCTGCCAAGTCGAAGAATCATCTGTTCTCCAAAAATCCATTTTAAAAGCTAGAGATTGCGCGAGACAGTCACGTTTTCAGATGAATTATCAGCTGGCTTTTTCATTCAGTAGCCTACAAAATGATAAATCATTTACCTCATAAAGAATCATTTTGAACTTTTGATAAACTAAAATAATTTTATTTTATACTTAAAATATTTTTTAAAGTAATTCAACTGGTTTTAAATGGAACATATTTAAAAGTGATATCATTAATCAACTATCGTACTAGCTTGGCAGCGACAATCTCACGTCAACAAAATACGGGAAATACACGTGCTCTCTTGTTGTGCAAGCGCAGTCAGTTAGTGGGTGTTTTCATCCGGTGTACTATTGTATCGTACAGTTATTGTACACAAACTGCACCTGCCCAGTCTAGAGACGACCGCTATCTTCTGAAGACGTCGATGTTTTGGATTGGCACGATTGGTCGACAACGAGTCTACAACGTACATAACATCTTGAAATTCTAATTGTTGTATTCGTTGTCCCTGTTACTGTTTCTGTTAGGAAAGTTCGAGGCTAATTAGACTTGAACTTGGTTTGGACTTGGAAGCCTAATCTGCTAATTGGTAAATATTTTCAGGCCGTGTCTGCTTGTTGAACTTGGAGTTGGAAAGTTGGAAGTTGAAGTGACTTGAAGAAGGTTAGCAAGGGACAATTTAGTTTATTTCATTTTAGGCAATTTCAGCAAATGTCATGTCATGCAATTAGTCTATATTGTCACCTAACCGTAAATTAAATTCAATCAATATCATGAATATTAAAACAAAATAGTGGAATGACTGATAAGCTAAATTTAGGCCTAATGCCTAGCCTCAGACAGGTTAACTTTAAAGTGTGATGACTTTAGTCCTGACCAAAGATGAAATGTCCCCCCCCCCCCCCCCCCTCAAGAAGAGAAGGTTTTCAGAATGTAAGTTTAAATTCTCAAAGCCTTGAACAGTAAAATTTATCTTTTTTAGATTTTACATTCTTTTTCATTATGTTTATAATTATTAAATAAATTCCTTTTGATGTGCGATCTTAGTTCTATTTTTTTTTTCCTTTTTGTCACTGGATATTTTCCTCTTGCACGCCCTCTAATTTCTTCCCATTTACCTCTTTGATATTACTATTTCTTTGTTAATTCTTTCCCTCCCCCTTGATTCTTCATTTTCTGATTTCCATCTATATCCCATCTATATCCCATCTCATACTAATCCACCCCTCGACGTCTTTGTTTTCTCCTGAATTAACATGCTCTTCCTATCTTCCTTTTCCTTTTTTTTATAATTTTTAATATTTTTTTCCTATCCCAATTATTCCTCATCTCCTCTTCCATGTTTCCTCTTCTTCCTCTCTTGACAAATCCCTCGTCTTCACCTTCTCTCCATATGTTCATCTATTCACCAATTACATTTCTTGTTGCTCCCTTCTTCACTTCTTATCTCTTATATATCCTCACTTTTCCATCTTCTTTTTCTCTCTCTCGTGTCCTCTTAATCTCTCCCCTTCTCTAATGTAACTTTTCTCTTTCACACTCCTCTTCCTTTCAATTTGTCCTTTCCTGTTTCTCTCCCTCCTCTTCCTCCTCTTCTCCCCTTTTCCCCTTTTCCTTCAATTTTCTCTATCTCTGCCTCCTCTCCCTTCTCCCCCTCCCCCTCTCTCTCTCTTAATTTCTCTCTCTTTCTCTCTCTCTCTCTGCCTCTCAAAGTCCCCCTCCCCCTCTTTCTTTCTCTCTTCTCTCTCTGCCTGCCCACTCTCTATCTTCACAGGAATTAGTTTTGATCGATCCTGCAGCTGACCTACCGTGTTCCGGATACCACCATGCGGCTAGTCATTCTAGATGATTACTCCAAAGCAAGTGAATGGGCTGCCAAATATGTCAGGAACAGGATCTTGGAATTTAGTCCTACCAAAGACAAGTACTTTGTACTTGGTCTTCCAACAGGTACAGTGTTTGAAGCTTAACTACTTTCCCCAATAGACTGGTTTACTAAATATTACCTATTCAAATTTATGGATGTTTCTTTCCTGGGGATTTAGTGACAAATTATTCAATAAACCTGTCATTAATGCATGAACTACAATTCTTGGAATCCAGTCTGCATACATTACTTGGTGTTATGTCAGGCAAGCTTTCAGGTTGTCAACACCAACCTTTGTTTAAAGAGCATGCATGAAATTGTAATATGTCAGTATCAGTAAACAGATCTATTCTGTACGTTTTCTTATTTGTTATTTTGTTGTTCAACATTTTGAAGTCACTGGTGGATTCAGGATAATTTAGGGGGGGGGGGGTTGGCATTATATGTCAACAACAAAACTACAAATTGTTGCTGATGATCAAAAATAGATTATGTAATATGTTTGTAGAAGAGGGGAGGAGATCGATGCAGACGTATATGTTGATACTTGTGTACTAAAATTAATATTGTAGCAGATAAATTTGATTTGGTGGGGGGGGGGGGCATATTTAATATGCTACTGGAAGGGACATATGAGATGAGAGGTGATGAATAATTTGTTTTCTTTTTCCATGATGTCATAGTAATACAGACATGAGAATTAAAATTTGTCGATAGTGTTGCATAGGAATGAAAAACAGAAACCCTTGCAAGTTATATCCAAAGCAATGTTCTGGATACTACAAGAGGATAGCCATGTATAGCATAATAATGATGGCTCCTGCTCCCGGCCCCCCCCCCCCCTTTCAGCAAAAGTCTGGTGTGTAAAGTCAATACGGCTCGACCTTTTTCTTTTGTATACGAGCCTTTTCCAGCACCCCCCCCCCCCTTTTCAGCAAAAGTCCGGTGTGTAAAGTCGATACGGGTCGACCTTTTTCTTTTGTTACGAAAAGGACATTTTGGCAACACGCATGGGGTCCGTCCGTTCTCGGAGTGGGGGGCCGGGCTCCTGCTATCCATTAATAGATGTATAAGCAGGTAGTTTTCTGTTTGTGATTAATAGTAGATCAGCTCATGTAAATAGTCAACCTGTTGTTTTACCTTTGTCTCAACTCTAGGTAGCACACCCATTGGGATGTACAAGAAGCTGATTGAGTTTCATAAGGCTGGTGTTCTCTCCTTCAAATATGTCAAGACTTTCAACATGGATGAGTATGTTGGTAAGGATTCAGGAAATGTTCATTAATTAATATTTACTTACTTTTTTATTCACTGTTAAAGTTTCTTTTCAAATTCTGAGAACAAGTGTGTTGAATTATGCATAAAAGGTGATACGAAGCAAGATCATATGATTGGTCAGATTGGCAAGGATTTTTTTGGGATATCTTCAGGTTTTTTTGTAACATGGTACAAATAGAATCCTTATTATTCTTGAAATTTTATACTAATTTTCCCTTAAACATTTTCTTTAAATAATGAGAGATAAGTTTTATTTATCTTTTAAGGATATTGATGTGCTTGACAGTAAACAATTTCTTTAAGCATTTCATAGTGTACACAATCTCATATTTCAAAGTATTTTTTTAGGGTAAAGATTCAGTACTTCCGATTTTTGTTCCAAAACTTTTGTTATAGCATTGGGAAGTCACTCGCACAATTGCACAGTCTTGTTTTTGTTCATTGAAATCACAAAATGTCACCTCAAAAATTCACAAAACCATCCATACAGACTACAAAGTATAGAGTAGTTTAATCAAACTTTTCATGGCTTCACCATACATGTAGCTAAGAATGAACTCAATATGTTTTTGTTCTTGTAATGTGAAGTTATATCCTGGAATTATTATAGTTTTGTCCTATCAGACACAATGGTCATTATTCTCATCGTTCTTACAACTTTGGTATGTCCTTTTTCACTACTATTCTTTAATGTTTTTTTTTTGTTCTTCTAGGTTTGGAGAGAGACCATCCAGAGAGCTACCATTCCTTCATGTGGGAAAAATTCTTCAAGCACATCGACATCGTACCGGAGAATGTCCACATTCCTGACGGCAATGCAGAGGACCTCGACGAAGAGTGCCGCAAATACGAGCAAGAGATCAAGAAGGCTGGAGGCATTGAACTCTTCATTGGAGGTGAGTATCAATAATAAGTATATGAAGAATGTGTTTCTCATTTACGTTCAATTCTAAGTCTTATGGAATGAAATTTTCAGAGAATTTTCAACTATGAGAAAAGAATATTAGAGACATTTTAATAAAAGACTGGGCCAAATTTCTTATCATTTTGATGATTCCAGAACCTTGCAGTACACACCAATGCTTATGCTAGATGATCAACCTTTTCTGATCGATTCCACAACGTTTCTTTTACAATGCAATCGCATGACCTGAACTGGTCTTTACCTATCACAGAATGATAGAAAATTGATCTTCTATGTCATTCTGTAACAAAGTATATAAGATTCCACATTTCATTAATTTGATGAATGGTCGACAGGAAACGAAACTGTTGTGAAAGTAGTTGATATATTATATCATTGATTTACAAATTTTGTTATTAATTTCTTAACACAAGTTGAAACTTCTCCCAGGAAGCTTAACATTTAAATTCACAACTTTCTTAGTATTATTTGTCTGATATTTTGTTCTGTATTTTTCCTGCTTTCACTTAAATGAACTTTTCAAAAAGTTTAGATCACCCATTACATTTGGTTCTTTCACCCTCTGCTTCTTACAGGCATCGGACCTGATGGCCACATAGCCTTCAACGAGCCAGGCTCTAGTTTGGTGTCAAGAACCAGAGTGAAAACACTAGCCCATGACACCATCATTGCCAATGCTCGTTTCTTTGACAATGACATTAGCAAAGTACCCACCATGGCATTAACAGTTGGTGTAGGAACAGTTATGGAAGCTAATGAGGTATGTGTAGTTTCAAGTTTCAAGATTTTATTGTATACAGAAAATATAGACATACATATAAAATAAAAAATTATATAATACAATTGTAGTATAAATGGGCACATGTCAATGATTCACAATTCATATAATAGATTAAGTAGAATATGAGGGACCTATTAAAAAGTTAATTCAATAATAGCTATAACAATAATGATACTAATTTTTTTTTTAATGATGAGGCGGAAGACAAGGTTTCATGACACATGCCCCTTCAAGAGTTACCCCACATTCAATATTTCACTAATGATACTACTACTATTACAACGACGACGATGACTACCACTCCTACTACTACGGTATTCCTACTACCATGACGACGACTACAACTACTTCTACCACCACTATATCACAACTACTTCTTTTGACACTACTATTACTTCCAATACCACTACTACCACCACCACCACCACCATTACTACTACTATTACAACAGACTCAATTGATTTCAGACATGTATTTCTGAAATTGTATTCTACTCACTCTTTTACTGCAGGTAATGATCATCATCACCGGAGCTCACAAGTCTTACGCTCTCTACAAGGCCATAGAGGAAGGCGTCAGTCACATGTGGACGGTCTCTGCCTTCCAGCAGCACCCACGCACCATCTTTGTTGTCGACGAGGACGCGACCCTTGAACTCCGCGTCAAGACGGTCAAATACTTCAAGAGCTTGATGTATGTTCATGACAAACTTGTAGAGGATTCCAAAGAGCTTCCAGAGGTTAAGCGACAGAAGAAAAAGTAGCTTTTATGACTCTGAATTTTTCTATATACCGGTATTTGTTTGAAGAAAAGTACATATTTTTGTTTTAAAAAAAGTATATATTTTTCTTGCATATTTAGGGGACTCTAAAATTTGTTTGTATATGGCCATGTCCCTTTATACATGTACCTATTAAAATTTGTTATTTAGTCTGTATGTCAACTTTGTTTCATGTTGTATCTTTGTTAAATCTTACTTACTTATGATGTTAACCCAACTCCATGATCATTTATATCAATGTTTAAATTTACTTATTTAGCCTCTGCGTCAAGTCAGTGCCATGAATGTATATGTGTGTGCTTACTTCTAAAGCAAAAATGGCACCGCATCACACTATAATTGACCACTAAAATTGGCAATATGTATCTTATCGCCAACTTAAAAGTGACTCTCTGAGTCATTGATCATGTAGAGAGTACCGGTATGAACCTTGTATATTATGGGGTTGATGATGATTGCTAATACTTATTTGCATATATTGGACTTCATACATGCGTTTGTATTTCATGGTGGTTCTGGCATACCTGTTGTCCTAATCATTCCATGAAGTTCATAGCTATTATCCATTTTCTGTTTAAATAGTCTTGGCTGACATCTTCCACTTGTTTTGTTTTCATTGTCAAGTGATCATGTCCGACTCTTTGCTTTTCATCATTGTAACTATAAGCCATGGTTACTTGGGGATCCTTGCATGAAATTTGCATTGAGAATCGAATTCACACTGAACAACAAAAAATAATGACCACAAATCCTACATCTATGATTCTGATAGGTTGAAATATGAGTTGTATTTAGAGCAACTCTTTGTGTAAAAGTCTATAGAATTCATACCAAAGAATTATCGCTGAACTAGATCCTATCAGTACTTTAAAGAAATATTTAGAATGCTAGTTGATCGTCTCATACAACTATTGCTTCATACTTTCAATAACATTCCTTATAACAAACAGGTCTTGTGTCAATAGACAAAGTATTTGCTTGCCAGTTGCCACTGTTCTATATGCATTATGTAATCAATATCTTGCCTGGTTTGGGGGGGGGGTAGTATATCTGATGCTATGTGGTTACAAACTTCATGTATTCAAGATCCTGAAAATGTTATGAATCGTTTTTAACAGCTTTTTAGCAACCAGAAACTGAGTTGAAAATACAGCCCTTCATTAATGCTTGCCTTTATTATTCATTTAAGATCATGATTCGATAAAGATTATGATTAAAAAAGATTATGATATCATTTGTTATATCGTCATTTTTGTTATTGAATACGGCTTATTTGTTTGTATGTTTGCCAAATTTGATAGCATGCTGTATTAAATTTTTGTTGTCTTTTTCCATGAGAAAAGTCAACATCTGGGGCTGCTCCAACAGTAAAAAAAACCATGTAGAAATTATGTTCTATTAATCTATTGTGTTTACATTATCTAGCACTTTCTTGTGATTTATGTTGTATAAATGTGAAAATAAATGTGGATGCATGTATATCAGGCATAAAAGGTGATGGAAAGGGAAGAATGGGTCGAGAAAGAATTGAGATAATGATAGGGAATTCCTATGTAATTACTCCTCTAGTTATTATGATATCTGTCTTTCTTTGACCTCTTCAAAACATGTGTCGGTTGGACATATCTATTAGGTTGTAAACAGTGACAGGTTTTTACTTATCTTTTAGTTTAAAACTTGAAAATAATGAAAATATTTGTTGTTATACATGTAATTGTTATGTTATGTAGTAGTTAGATTTTTTCACACTTTTTGAAAATATAAAATCCCTTGTATGCTTTGATCCAATGAATTAAAGAAAAAATTAGGTGCTTTTTTTGAAAACATGAACAAAATTGATAAATAGTACTCTATGAATAAGAAAAAAATTCTTACCATTATCATGTATTGCTCCAAAGGAGTTAAAATCTTTATCTCAAATTTATGCATAAAAATGTGAGAGCATTACGCTTAGATAGTTACTATCATGCCAGTGTTGAGAAAAGGTAGATCTGACCATATATATTGCCATATTTTTCTTACCCTCTTTGTTACCTTTATTGTAATCTATATGTATAAATATCTGCAGTTCAAATGTCTGGAGGGAGCACATATTTTGAAAGATTTTGCAGAAAAATAATACCTGTAAAAACAAGTATGTACTTGTATTTACCGAGTTGGATTGACGTTTTGTTATTGTTCAGAAGATGAATCATTTGTCAGAAACAAAATAAATAACAATCTACTGTGAATGCTAGTATTATGTTTATTTGATGCTCTGAGTTTGGCTTGATTACATTTTAAAATGAGCATGCAATTATCTTTGCATTTTCTAAGAAATCACCATCCTCCCAAAGTGATGAAAATACCATCTTTAGAAATACCATATTTTTTCCAGCAGGATATTGAATCCTATAATTCCCCCACTTCTATGTGTACAAGCTTACTTGCATGTGAAAAACCTTAATCTGACGTGAGTTTGAGTTATCAATAATCAAAATAGTAAACTGTTTTCTTTTTTAACATCAACTATATGTACAGTGACCCAGTAAGGAATGACATAAACACGAGAGTATGTAATAACACAGGAACACAACATGGAATTCGGTATAAATGCTCAAAATTGTCTTTTATTTTGTACTGGAAGACAGTCATAACAATTGATAAAAATCACTCATTCATGATTCCATGTCTCGTGGTGTGGGCCTGAGCACACACTAAAACAGGGCCCCATTTCACAAAACTTGTTATCAATGACAAATGACAGTTTTTCTTATAAGCTAGTGAAATCCTTGCTTCTGATTGGTTATCAACAGATTTGTCACTGATTTTTGTCACTTGTCATTGAAAAATGGCTTTGTGAAACAGGCCCCAGATCTCGTCAATTAATCCCTTAACCCGTTGACTACTGACTTCTCTAAATTCCATAGGCTTAATACAGGGACTACTCGGCTCCAGTAGGCAAGAGGTTAAGTTGAAAGTGAACTTGCTCTTCTGATCTCCTCCACCAATGAGAAAGTATTCATGGACAATGCAAACAAATATAACGTACACAATAACTTGGTCAATCTGGGTATGTATCGGTATACACTTAAAGATTATTTTTTGAATACCGTAATTACAACAAAAATCCCTCACTCCATGTTTGCATAATTGGACTTGTAAAGAGTTGTTGGATTTGTCTTGATCCTTCTGTAATTATGTAGCGCCCTCACATGCTGCTGTGGTCTCGATAAGATTACGCCATATTCTGTGACAGAGTCGAGTCATACAGTGAAAGTAATTAATTTATACGTTACGATGAGAGTAATTTGCAAGCACAAAGCCCTGTCAGTCCTTGGTGCAAAGCAAAAGGTCTGTACCTGTGAGACTAGGTATAGACTGCAGTCTTCTGCATCCCATATGCCATATTTTACACAGTTAGAGAATGACAAGAGTAAAAGATAAGCTTGAGTTCTGGTACTGATAGAAAATAAATTCTCACAGAATCCAACAAAAGTTACACTGAATTTTCAAGATTACAAATGAATGACATGTGCCAAAATATTTTGGTAGAAAATGTATAGGGGCTGAGTAAGAAGGCCCGACACCATGTGCTTAACACAGGTCACTCTGTGCAAATGGGAGTTGTGGTTTTTTTCGAAGATGATGCCTACCGGTAGTCATTATTTGTGCGTTACTTTTTATTTCACTGGTTCAAACAATCAATCTACTGCAGGAAACATAAACAATCCAGAATAAATCATAGCAAATTTTTCTTCAAAATTTCCATACCAGAGCTCAAGATTAGCATTATAAAGTTCAGCTTAAGCCTTCATTGAACATGGCATTTAGACACCTGATGGCCAGGTCCGTGGTGAATATTCAGCTGCATTTTTATAGAAATTTCAACATTTGGCTTGAAACCTACTTCCACATTAAAAATTACAGAAACAAATTAATTGCAATTTTCAACTTTTGGCAAAAAATGACAGAGGTATCTGCTTTTTAAAGTACATGCAAGATACAAACTTTTATATTTGGGTTTTTTAAATTACATATAGGCTACCACTTATTTTCAAGATTCAAATTACTATTTCAAAATGGTCCTAAAAGTAGTTGAAATTCCTTTGGCTTAGTGTGTAGGAAACAAAACAAACTAGATGGAACTTCGACTGCGCGCAGTCGAAAATGATGCCTCCGTCATAGAGCAATTTTACAAACCAAAACAGAAGAAATTTTTCAAATTCAAGTTCAATTGTAATCCATTAACAGGTTCTCCGAATATCCTGATTACAAGCAATTTCTCATATACATATATGACCCTTTGATCTTTGACCTCATGATCCTAAAATCTACTCAGTTCATTGGCTCTGCAAGATGTCCCGAGTTAAATAGTAATCCATCTGTCAGTTCTAATGAGAATGCGTTCACAAGCTATTTTTGCATACATAATGAGCCCATGACCTTTGACCTCTTGACCCAAGAATCTACTCAATTCATAGGCTCTGCAAGATACATACATGATCTAAGTTTGGCAGGAATCCATCAATCTGTTCTTATGATAATGCGATCACAAGCTATTTTTGCATACATAATGAGCCGCATGACCTTTGACCTTGACCTCATGACCCCAAAATCTAATCAGTTCATGGGCTCTACAAGTAACATACATGACCAAAGTTTGGCAGGAATCCATCAATCGGTTCTTCAGATAACGCGATCACGAGCTGTTTTTGCATACATAATGAGCCATGTGACCTTTGACCTTGTGACCCCAATATCTAATCAGTTCAATGGCTCAACAAGTAACATACATGATCTAAGTTTGGCAGGAATCCATCAATCGGTTCTTGAGATAACGCGATCACGAGCTGTTTTTGCATACATAATGAGCCATGTGACCTTTGACCTCTGACCTCATGACCCCAAAATCTAATCAGTTTATTGGCTCTGCAAGATACATACATGACCAAAGTTTGGCAGGAATCCATCAGTCGGTTCTTCAGATAACGCGATCACGAGAACGGTACGTACCGTACAGACGTACGGACGGACAGACAACCCGAAAACATAATGCCTCCGGCTACTTTGTAACGGAGGCATAAAAATCCCTGAAATGTTTAAGTAAAAGGATCAGTGTTTCATATCCAATGCCAATAATAAATATCAGAACTCGAGAGAAGAGATTTCATAGGAATTCCTTATCACAGTCACAGTTTTACAATACCATGCTCCCATCAACCTCAACGACTGATTTTTCAACATTTTCAAAAGACAAGTTGCACCGTGCCATGCCATGACTAAAGCAGAAAACTGTGTATGAACTTTACTTAAGCAACACTTGAAGTCATTATTCTGAAGTAATAAGCATTTTAAGGAATCAAGTCCTGCCATGTAACCATTTACCTCACCTGGGTAGAGTGTGGCAAATATTGATTAATGTCTTGCCAAAGGATCTTAGTGCTGGGACAGAGCTGTAGCTATCACATACCATCATAATACCATGAATGAATACCATGCACAAAATCTACTGCATTTTGATAATGTAATGGTGGAGAGGGAAATGAATCACTACCTGCAGTAGGGAGCATCTGACAACTAGATAACTGATTAACAACAAAACATCTCAAACTGAATTGTAAGAAAATGTACGCAAGAGGGGGGGGGGCAAGAGATAATCCATTATGTTAATCATGTGCATCTCATGTGACTGGCAGAAGAGCATGAAAAGACACAAAACATTTCAGTCTGTGCACTGTTAAAAGACAGCTATAGCTTTCTACTGTGGTAGTCTGTACATGTAACTGCATGTAATAACTTAATCTCAACTAAACACTTTAGACATTGGAGAAAAGATGCCATTCTGCAAGGCACATGACAATCGGTAAACACTAATACAATAGAGAGGACAGGATTTTCAGGAAGTCAAAAATATTCAACCATCTACCATTGAAGTGAAATAACACATGAGAACAAAATCAAAATTGAGCATATAATGAATAATCTTTCCATTTATAATGGTAACCAATGAATAATAAATGACATGATGCATAATTGTAGGTTTGTATTAGACAGTAAGATTGAAAAAATTGTTATAATATTATTACATTCAGTATACAATTAGTGACATATAATGAGCTCAGAAACTCTCCTATACTGTCCCTGTATTCTCCAGCCTGGGCTCCACAGACCAATACTTGTGAGGACCCAGAACAAGATTAGTGAGGACCTTTCTGCCAGAGTGACGATTCCAACACCACTTTGTCTATGCTTCGGCAAAAGAGTCTATCCTCAAGAAGAAGACAAATTGATATATGCCTGCATTATATATTCATGAGGGACTTATGTTAAGTTTATTTTATTGTTCAAAAGACTTGCTGCAGATACAGCTGTTTGTTTAAATACCAGGCAAAGCAGCAGTTACCTAAAGTGATGTCAACTTTGTTTATTCCCCCAAACGAGTAGTGACGCAATCCTCTTCCCTGCCACTATCTTGCGACTCCTTTAAGTTCATGTTAAGATCCATTCCATCACCTCCTAGGTGGAGGTTGGTAGAAAGCTTGAGCCGGTCTCTGGCTTCGCCTGTCGACGCCCCTGAACCCTCCCGGGTCCTGGCCCTGCTTTTGGATGAAAGGCCCCTCCCCTCCCTTCCGGAACTCTAGGGTCAGGTTCATCGACCCGTCGTAGTTGCCATAATCCTGCACCAGGGGCGTCTGGCCGGCGACGAGCTGGGGTATAGGTGGGGGTTGTTGGTAGTGTTGGGGGAAGGGCGGGGCTGCAGGCATGAACTGTTGCTGCTGGGGCGGTTGCTGCTGGGGAGGCTGCTGCTGCTGTTGATGATGAACTGGAGCTATTGACGGCGGAGGCGCAGTCTGTCAGTGTAAAATAACAAAAAGATCGAAGGCTTAACTACATAATAATTTAACCCATTATCCTGTGCAAGAAGAAAGACTTCTGCAAATATTCTACATAACAAATTTAACCCCTTTGGTTTTCAAGATTACAGTGTACCAATCACCTAGAAAAAATAATTTAGGTATAGCAAGAACGTATAAAATCGACTTTAAATGAATTTCATTCTCATTAGAATGTATACCTCAAAAATATCAAATTTTCAATGATTATGAAGAGCGAGGGCTTATTCCCAGCAAGGTTTATTAATATCATGGAATTGTTGTTCAATTTTGACAGGAACTGACTTTTGCCATCTATTGTAGCTTTTTATTCAAGCGAGCTATTTTTAATGTACTGTAGGAAAAAAAGACAATTATAAGCTGAATTCATCACTGTTTCTGGGTATTTTCAATTCTATCCCAGCCAGAGTCCCACATGATCATATTCATGTCACTAGACTTACCCAGGGATGATCAGCACACGGCATGATATCAGTGATCAACACCTCCTCAAAGTTGCCATATTCTACAAACTTCACCATGCAAGTCTTCCCTGATGGGTGAATGGCTGTAATTTGTGCTTTGTAAAACTGCAGAAAACAACATTCAAAAACAAAAGAATGAGAATATATTAACAAATTTTCAGTACATTTATGAGAATTACACAACACTTGTAATCACTATTTAACAAGTATTTTTTAATACTCTGATGAGTCCAAGATGAAAAGCTCAAGTATGTCTTTGTTTCAAGCTATTCTTTGTCTACATGTATGTAGTGCCAATTATCTTTTCAAGGTATGTTTTGTTCAGCAAATGCATTAGACCTGTGCAAACAGTTGAGCTCTCATATTATTTTACCACATTCAAAACCAGAAAAATATACAAGGTAAGAAAAATACATTGTACACGTTTGACACATAAAGCAAATGAAAAACAGATACATAAAACATAAAAGAACAAAGAAAATCTACATGACAAACATCAAACATTCAAACATAAAAAAGTAAATAATGTATACGGGCTAGGAAAAGCGAAGCTTATGAAGTCTAGCCCCGGTAGCAATGAAGGGGGAGTCCTACATAGAATTCATTACAAATTTTGCGATTTAGAGGTTTTTAACTTAATAGATTTGATTTGCCAAATGAATTTGAGAGAGCATAGGTAAAACGGGCAGAGGATAATAAGGAAACCTGGATAACTTTCATGTGTCTGTCATTTTTAAGTGAAAGAATCCCATTTCCAGCCAATTTTGGTCCCATGTTATCCTTCATATTTAATACTGTTCTAAACTACCCTTTTATCACATTCAGAATGACTTTTACTCGGTTTTTCTTGGAATGAAGTAACAATACTTTACTTGAAGAAAGGAAAAAAGGAAAAAAACTATCCTACCTTGTGATCTTCCCAGTACTTTGAGAGGCAGTGATCGTCGACCTTGAATGGTAGCATGGGTATGCTTTGGGACTGAGGAATCATTTCTGGTCCGTTGGTCATCACTTTCGTCCTCACCACAGATCCCTGGTTCAAAGCCTGGTTGGCACCGGCATCAGTCACCCTCCTCCCTCCGTCACTCACCATCTGCTGCTGCTGCTGCTGAGGTATAAATGGCTGTGACTGCTGGCTCAACATCTTGAAATCCGGTCGAATATTCACTTGATTTTTCACCTTGGCATTCTCTTCTTGACCAGGCCCCTTCCAATTCCCGATTCCATCCTGCTGAGGCGCCTCTCTCCCATTGCTCCTCTTTGTAGACTGATTTTCTTCTTGTGCCGGTCCATTGTCTTTCTTTCTCTCCATCAGTCGATAGGTCTTTTCAGTGTTATTATCATTCTTGTTGCTGTTGTACCTGCTTGTATCGCCAGATTTCCCCTGGCCATCAAATCTGCGATTACTACGACCCTGATAGCCATTGTCATTCTGGTATCCATCATTCTGGGAGCTCCGTCCCCGTTCAGATTGAAACTTGTCTGATCTGTTGTTCCTATCCCTCCCCTGATATCCCCTATCATTCTGATCATCCGCCACACCACTCCGAGACTGTCCATCAAACCTTCTCTCGTTCCTATCCTGGTATCCTCCGTCTCGTCTCTCATTCTTGAACCTTGACTCGTTCTTAAACCCTTGAGACGCATCCTCTTTATCATTTGTCCATTCGTTACTCTTCTTCCCATCTCTTCTCCGATCATCGAATCTCTCAGGTCTATCCCCTCGCCTCCCCCCTCGATTGTCTTTGCTTCCCTGCTGAGTGTCACCCATCTGCCTCTGGGCTTGTTTCTGGGCTTGCAGCTTCTGGAAGCGGGGTGGGGTCTCTCGGACATTATGGTTGTAATTGTTCCCACTTGCGTCCCTGCCTGGTTTAGACTGATCCCTATCATAGCGGCTTGAGCGCTCATTTTTCTCCACATTGTCTTTGCTCTCCTTTTCTTTGGGTTTAAAAGCTGGATAAAGAAAACAAAAATAAATAGATATCATCATATATATGAGCCCCAGCATGCATTAACAGCTGCAATTGGTCATAGATATAAATTTACAGTTGAAACTGGTTCAACTTGATCACAACTTGATATCAATCGCAACTCTGTATTAAAGAGATATGAGTTTGAAAGTTTTAGATTGATTGGATGATTTGATTGAATCAATCCAGATCAATTGCAACTCTTGATAAGACAGGGCCATGAGGCAATGTAATGCCACTTTACAGCATCCAAAATTGAAAAGAAGTCTTCATACACAACAAACAAAAGCATGTAATTTTGCAACAAGACACTGTAAATATATACTTTTTGTGGCCCTGCCAATCATGTGATGAAGGTGACTTTCCCACATCTAGTGTTTTTATACAATTCATGAATTTAATGGATATTCATTGCAAAGGATGATTTAAGAAACGATTCCCGGTTTCCATGTTTGTGCAGGCCAGCTGGTGGTTGCATGCCATACAATAAGTAAGCACACACTGGTGCAATGACTAGTCTCACAAGATGTTTTAATATTGATTGATAGTGTATTAAATCATCTTGCAACATCTCATTATACAATTAGTGCTGTAGCCGAACCGCCGAACCGAACGCGAGTTCGCCGAACATGGCACTTCCGAACCGAACCGAACCAAACCGAACCGAACCGAACCGAACCGAACGCAAAGGCCTGGTTCGGATGTTCGGCAGAAAAATATAAAAGTTTTTTGCAAGCTAATAAACTTGTCATTTTGTACCTAATTTTCATGTCATGATTGCTCATTTTATATTTACTTTTTTCCCATTTTGCGCCTTTGTGATTTATGCCTATCCAGTGGTGGGCGCGACTTCACTGGCGCCATTTAAATCCCAAATCCTGACCACGCTACGTCGCGATCTCAAGCCATAAACAAGAATACATGTGCGTGATCAAAACAAATTCAGCCAAAACCCATTTAACAAAAAAATTAATATTTTAATGGTAATGATATCGGACAAATTTTACAATATAAATAATGAAATAAATATATATTATAGTATCGTATTTATTTATTTAGGAAAAATAGGGATTTTATATTTTTCCTATTGAAAATAAAAACTTATAAAAAACAGTTATTGACGAGCCTGAGTCTGTATATTTATGGAGCGCCAAAGGGGCCAATATCAACAGTCACAAAAACAAACAAAGATGCATACAAACAAACAAAGAAGCATACAAACAAACAAAGGACAGAGCAAAATAGACAAAGTACCCAGAAGAAAGGACCAATTAACAAAGAATAAATCAAAGGTCAGAGCAAAATAGACAAAGTACAGGTCAGAAGAAACAGAGGGCGTTTTGGTTTACGGTAAGCAAATAGACATCAGGCACGAAAACGAGAAAGGACAAACTCAAAAGGACATCAACTCAGCTAGGAACTGACCCTCAAAGGACAACAGAGGGCGTTTTGGTTTACGGTAAGCAAATAGACATCAAGCACGAAAACGAGAAAGGACAAACTCAAAAGGACATCAGCTCAGCTAGGAACTGACCCTCAAAGGACAACAGAGGGCGTTTTGGTTTACGGTAAGCAAATAGACATCAAGCACGAAAACGAGAAAGGACAAACTCAAAAGGACATCAGCTCAGCTAGGAACTGACCCTCAAAGGACAACAGAGGGCGTCCTCGAGGTTTTTTTCTTTTTAATCTAGGGCCTACTCCAATATAATACGCTGTAGGTCAATACAACAAATATGGGCTTTCATCGAAAGGGTGCGGTGCGGTGCGGCGCGGTGTGGTGTGCTCAACGCACCCATTCGATAAAAGAGGGGGGCCTTTTCTCGAAAGGGTGCGTTGAGAGCGGAGTACCATTTTAACACACCCTTTCGATGAAAGCGGGGGGGGGGGGCTTTTCTCGAAAGGGTGCGTCGACTAGTCTTTCGCATCAGTCGTTTAAAATGAGGATCTCGGACAGAAGGTAATAGTTGCCAATTTAAGTATATCGAAAATGTATTAAATGAAATGGAATGGTCTTGATTACAGAGTGGTCTCTTTGATGGGGGAGACAGAGAGAAGGAAAAAAGGGAAAGGGAAGATAAAAGGAAAGAAAGAAGAGGAAAAAGAATAAGAAAAGAGGGAAACAGGGGCGAAGTGCTCTTGCCTCCTCCCTCCCCCCCCCCCCCCCCGCCAAAAAATAAATAAGAGAGAGAGAGAGAATCTGTTCTGATCCTGGTCCTGATCCTCAAGAGGGATATAAAGATGACCAATAAGAACGTTATCGTTCGAGAGAGAGTGTTTGTTGCTTCTAGAACATTTTAGAATTAAGTCCCATCACATTGCAGTTGTGGGGAGGGACTATGATTATATTACCCCCTTGGATGGCTTCCCATAAGAGTCCGGCTTTGAAGGTTTCGACTGCGTCGCAGGCAAAGATGCTGGGGGGGGGGAGTAAATTCCAGGCCCGTATGGTTCTTGGAAAGAAGGTGAGTCGATATATATCCGTCTTGCATCTTATGTTGGAGAAGGAGAGGGAAAGAGAAGATAAAAGGAAAGAAAGAAGAGGAAGAGGAAGAAGAATTTGTGTTCTGCCAGTGTCACAAATAGATATATAAATATGCTCATCTGACGATAATTTGATGTATAAAACCCCTCACCTTCTTGGGGCCCGCCCCTTGGATCCAACACCAATTTGTGTCCTTCCAGTGTCACAAATAGATATAAAAATATGCTCATCTGACCGTTATTTATTGCCCAAAACCCCTGAGCTTCTGGGTGCTCCACCCCCTGGACCCCACGCCAATTCGTGACCCCTGTGTCACAAATAAGGTATAAAATAATAATTATTTAATGGACAAAACTCCTGAGCTTCTGGGGGCTCCGCCCCCTGGACCCAACACCAAATTGTGTCCTGCCACTGTCACAAATAAGGTATAAAATTATGCTCATCCGACGTTAATTTTGATGTTTAATACCCCTGAGCTTCTGAGGGCTCCGCCCTGTGAAAAAAACGTGTAAAAAAAACACGTTAATTTTTACCGTTTTTGGGAGATACCCCCCCCCCTGGCCTTCAAGGGGGGGGGTACGATTTTTCAAATTTTTGAGGGCCCCAAAAAAGATTAGTGCTCTCTAGTAATTTCGCGACTACTCCGGAACCGCGGCAGTTTTTCTTTCATGACTTTTTTCTTTCGAGTCTTACGCATCTTTTGAAACATTTTTTTGTTGAAAATCGGACGTATAATTGCGGAGTCACGTGACCTTTTGTTTTTGCATGTCAAAAAAATCTTAAATCGCTCATTTTTGTGATTTATGTACCAAACATATGGAAATACCATTTATTCTTTTAAAAAAAGAGAAAACATTGGTTATTTGGTCTTGTTTCAAGTAAATTTGTTTGATTTTGGGTAAAAATAGTTGAATTGTGGTTAGAAATGAAATGAAATAACAAAATAATATAATACATAAATACAAATAATCAAAACAAGAGATAACATAGGGATAAACTGGCTCTTCCAACTTTGTTGTCGTATTATTATTCTAACGAATATATGAAGTGAAAAAGAACGCTCGAATATGAATTATATATGATTTATGGGTAAAAATGTGAATTCTCTGACCTTGTTTGCATAAATTACCATAAATATGCATTTTCGCGGCGATCGGCTGTGAAACGGCCGAGATCTTAGGAGGACCCCCCCCCCCCCCCCACCCTCAAGTCCACTCCAATCACATTGAAAAAAAGTATGACTTAAATCATCTCTCTCATCATTATACCGCTATAGTATTCATGTTTTTAATATTATTTATTTTCCATTAAACAAGTTCATAGAGAAAATACTTATCTCTCTGCAACATTAAAAAAGAATCTTCATTAATATGTCTTAATTTGTATTGATAGCCTTGTGGTCGCCAACAGTGGCGAAGGCAGGGGCGTCTCCAAAGGGGGTGTGGGGGTGTGACACCCCCCCCCCCCCCACCTGTCAGGATATTGTCGGTAAAATTGCGCTGCCGTCGGGAAAAAGAGAAAAGGGGGAGGGGGAAAAAGAGAGTAAAAGGGAAAGAAAAGAAAAAAAGAAAAAGAAAAGAAAAAAAGAAAAGAAAGGAAAGAAAAGAGAAGAAAGAAAAGAAAGAGAAAAACGAAAAAGCGGGAGAATAGGAAAGAAAGGAGGCAAGAGCCCTTTGCCCCCGTTACCCTCTTTTCTTCTTCTTCCTCTTCTTTCTTTCCTTTTATCTTCTCTTTCCCTTTCCCTTCTCTCTCTCTCTTATTTATTTTTTTTGGCGGGGGGGGGGGGAGGAGGGGAAGAAGGGCTAGGAGGCAAGAGCCCTTCGCCTCCGTTTCCTTCTTTTTCCTCTTCTTTCTTTCCTTTTATCTTCTCTTTCCCTTTCCCTTTCCCTTCTCTCTCTTACTTATCTTTTGGCGGGGGGAGGAGGAGGAGGCAAGAGCCCCTCTTTTCTTCATATTCTTCTTCCTTTCCTTTTTTATTCTCTTTCCCTTTCCCTTTCCCTTCTCTCTTTCTCTCTTATTTATTTTTTGGCGGGGGGGGGGGGGAGGCAAGAGCCTTTCGCCCCCGTTTCCCTCTTTTCTTCTTCTTCTTCCTCTTATTTCTTTCCTTTTATCTTCCCTTTCCCTTTTTTCCTTCTCTCTGTCTCCCCCATCAAAGAGACCACTCTGTAATCAAGACCATTCCATTTCATTTAATACATTTTCGATATACTTAAATTGGCAACTATTACCTTCTGTCCGAGATCCTCATTTTAAACGACTGATGCGAAAGACTAGTCGACGCACCCTTTCGAGAAAAGCCCCCCCCCCCCCCCCCCCCCGCTTTCATCGAAAGGGTGTGTTAAAATGGTACTCCGCTCTCAACGCACCCTTTCGAGAAAAGGCCCCCCTCTTTTATCGAATGGGTGCGTTGAGCACACCACACCGCGCCGCACCGCACCGCACCCTTTCGATGAAAGCCCATATTTGTTGTATTGACCTACAGCGTATTATATTGGAGTAGGCCCTAGATTAAAAAGAAAAAAACCTCGAGGACGCCCTCTGTTGTCCTTTGAGGGTCAGTTCCTAGCTGAGCTGATGTCCTTTTGAGTTTGTCCTTTCTCGTTTTCGTGCTTGATGTCTATTTGCTTACCGTAAACCAAAACGCCCTCTGTTGTCCTTTGAGGGTCAGTTCCTAGCTGAGCTGATGTCCTTTTGAGTTTGTCCTTTCTCGTTTTCGTGCTTGATGTCTATTTGCTTACCGTAAACCAAAACGCCCTCTGTTGTCCTTTGAGGGTCAGTTCCTAGCTGAGCTGATGTCCTTTTGAGTTTGTCCTTTCTCGTTTTCGTGCTTGATGTCTATTTGCTTACCGTAAACCAAAAACTGTACTTTGTCTATTTTGCTCTGACCTTTGATTTATTCTTTGTTAATTGGTCCTTTCTTCTGGGTACTTTGTCTATTTTGCTCTGTCCTTTGTTTGTTTGTATGCTTCTTTGTTTGTTTGTATGCATCTTTGTTTGTTTTTGTGACTGTTGATATTGGCCCCTTTGGCGCTCCATATATATTCCAGATGGCAGCTTTCATGACTCTAACATTAGACAACAACCGTCTCGGAAAATCTTTAAAAAATATCATTTATTGACAAATTGAAAACATGATTCTTTTAAAATTGAAAATAAAACACGATTCAAGACGGAAATACGAATGTAAGTAGTATTTTTCTTCACAAATAATTACGTTTAGAGCAGTTTTTTAATGTGAAATTCGTGCTGGTCGGAAGCAGTGTGCAGAAGTCATCCGTGCTGGTCGGGCCCGGCAGGCCGGCAGGCCAGCCCAGTGCCGACCGGCGTGGCTATAACGCTGCTTGCTATTATATTACCGAACCCCGAACCGAACCAAGTTCGGGTGAAAAATTGCCGAACTCTGCCGAACCGAACCGAACACGAACATAGCGTCTGACTTACAGCACTAATTTGAATACAGTATAGTGACGTGCAATCCCTAAGATAATTTCAGCCATTGGTACACTATTCTAATAGATTTAAGTACGAGGCATCTTCCAATTCTAAAAAGTATAAAATAACAAAATAAAAACTTGTTCTTGAATAGGCATGTGTGAATTACCTTCTGCTTTTTTGGGACCAAGTTTGGATTCCAGGAAGTCGAAGAGAGTTGTAGGAGCAGAAGGCTGGGAGGAGAATTCATCATCCTCGTCGTCTTCGCCACGCCTTCCTCTCCGACCTTTGAACCCTGTGTGGGAAAAAGCAGATTTAGAATGTATATCATCCTTTTTTCCCCCTCTCAAATTCACTAAAGAATTAAAAATGTAAAATTAGCAGATCGTGTCCTTTGAAAATACCAAAGAGAACCAAGAATTGTGCATTATACTTGAAAGTTAAAAGGTTTGTCAATGACAGACAAATGTCCCTATGGGGTGGTATTCAGGTAATCCTGATGCTAGATATTCCACTGCTGCCACTCATTGGGATACTTACATCATTAATCAGAGAATCAATTGCTGGATTACCAATGCCCATCTAACTTTGTCTATATGCCTGTAACAGGATAATACAATACAAACCTGTTCCTAGCCCTGTGTGGTGGACCAGATCTATTCCTGGGCCCCGTCTTACAAAGATTTGCGAAAGTCTGATAATCAATCGCAAGTTTGCAGTCTCCTATCTCTTATGTACATAGTTGCGATTAATATCAACTCTTTGTAAGACGGGACCCTGGTGTTAGATATCCCACAACTGCCACTGGCCAGAGAATCAATGGCTGGATTATCAATTTCTATCCAAATTCCCATGTGGACTATCATAAATACCTTATTAAAAAATATTCCCTTGACATACCTGATCCTCTCTCTGGCCTGTCCCTGCCCCTCTGTGGTGGTCCAGAGGTACCTCTAGTGTCAGAGGTACTCCTAGTGTCAGAGGTACCTCTAGTGTCTGAGGTACTCCTAGTGTTAGATATCCCACTGCTGCCACTTGGTTGGCTGCTTGCCCCACTAACCAGAGAATCAACAGCAGCTTCAAGGTTTCCTGAGTGCTTCTTGAGTGCAGCTAAAGCCTCCTCCTTAGAAAATCCCATGCTGACAAGCTGTGATACTGACTTGTCATCTGGCTTTTTCTGAACAAAATAAGAAGGTCATCACAGAGACGAGGCTTAGAGCAACGGGTACAGTTTATACAGAATTAATATCGTAATGGTACTTTACAAACAAACCGTATTGGGATATTGACAAGTACAACTCACAACTCAATAGCTAATATGTCTTTGCTTCTAACAAAGCAATGACCGATAACCTTTGAAATCTGAAATCTTGAAATCTGTGTAAACCCCAAATTAGCATTTCCGTTTTCATGATCTTACAATTGTTTTCGAGGCCCATTACAATGTCAGGACATGAACAGATACATTAGAACAAACACTTTAAAAGACTTTTACAGCAGAAATGCATGTTCATTTATCTAAGACCCCATCACACTCACGACATAATGGGTGCTCATAGAAGGGTTGAAAAGAGCAATAGAACACTGCTTTCACGACGAACAAAATAGAACATGATGAAACACTAGTTTCATGACATCTTCACTGAGACACAAGTTTGCAAAATCGGTGGCAGTGTATGGGTTAGCGAGCGATGATGCAATTGTGCAAGGGAACTTTTTACTAGAAATACTAGAAATACAAATGGTGGGTAGTCCAGTGCCACAGTCCACATCCACAACCACTCTGACCGACTACACACCAATAGACCGAGCCGGGATTTTACAATAGCTCTTATGGCCCAAAGTCGGATTGGTATGGAGTTGGTTTTGAGTCGCTTCGGTAGTGTGACTTGGGTCTTAGGTCAATGAAGACGGAAAAAAAAAGTGAAGTGCAAGGGGAAATGAACTGGGGGGGCATTTCACAAAGCCTTTTTTCAATGACAAATAACAAAAATCAGTGACAAATCTGCTGATAACCAATCAGAAGCAAGGATTTCAGTAGCTTATAACACAAATTGTCATTTGTCACTGATGACAAGTTTTGTGAAATGCCCCCCTCCCTGGTTGGAAGAGCATTCTTCTTCATCGTTCTCATGAAGGAGGATGTCTGAGTTAGAACTCACCTCATAATTCAGTTCTCTATAGTTTCCGAAGGGCTGGCTGTTCCTGTTGCTTTCACTAGGACCAGTTCCACCTGTACCAGGTCCTCTCCTGTCTCGATCGTAGCTCGATCTTGTTCCACCTTGATTTTCCTGGACAAAAAAAAATGTTCAAACAGCACTGAGTGCAGGTTCTTAGAAAAGGGGTAAAATGTCTGAATGCACGTTTAGTTCCAACACCATGTTGCTTATGTCCTGAAATTTCAAACAATCAGCCAGAAAGAAGCTTTTCCATAGTCCCGGTTCTTGTGTGATTCTAATTCCAAAATGTAATCATTTTTATTAGTTTTTACACAATTTCTGATTACATGGTCTTGTATTTCTTGTACTGTAAAGTGAAAGTGTACCAGTCATCAAAAACTTATTTTGTTCTATATGTTAAGGGTACTATGTCCCTATACTATTCAAAATAGTACTTCATATGTCACTTGTATGAAGAGATATCAGATTTAATTGAGCGCTCAAAGGTGGCTTGTGAGTACACAATAAGAAGTGCCGTTCGCACTAGCATTTACGCCGTTTCAGTACCCATGTCCGACTTGGCTTCTACGTTCAGGTTTTAAGTTATTCGTCATTTTCTTCACACCGAGGTTGATTTTATATAGTCTAGCTGTACGCATATCATTTTTTTCCAGGTGATTGGTACGCTTAAAGTATGTTTGAATTGTAATATAAGGAATATAAAGCTGCAAGTGTTATTGCGCATCTCACCTTTGACTCGTTATCTTGGCCCCCTGCCTTGGTACCACCTCCCCCGAACTTCTTTCCTCCTTGACCCCTGACCTGGCTCAGTTCCTTGATGGCTGCTTTTCTCTGCTCCTCAAACTCACGATCCTGTTCCGTCTGCTCCCGGTTCTTGTCGAGGTTCAGGGTGCGCTTCTTGCCTATGGTGGATAGCCAAAACAAGATGAATATTAGCTTATTGACGCCTGCCTGCTATTAACAAGAAGGCTGTTACTGTGTTACAAACATTATAAATATTCATGTTAAAGTTGCTGATGGGTATATAGAGGGCAGCACACGGATGTACGCACTGGAATGTAATACCCGTTGGCTCAGTTTTACAGTGATAGCCAAGTTGCCTACTTCATGAAGGACTACAGACCGACGCATGAACATCTTTAGAGCGTGCACACGCACACACATTTAGTTTTGGTGAATAATGGATGTGAAATAAAGTACAAAGTACAACAAGCATGGTAATGTTCTAATAAACTTGCTGATGTGACATGTTGTCAACAATTATCTGTTGATGCCCACAGGAAACGACTTGTGAGTATACTACTCGATGCAACCGTATGCGCTTGTATAGAAAAAGATATGTACAGAACTCAAATTCAACTTGGATTTCACAGGTTTTATTTTATGCTTTATTTTCTTCATACTTCTTGAAATTTATCCCATAGGAAAATAAGGTTTTCAGAGGTTGACTTGACACATTCTTGCTGCACACAATTTATTTTGTAGGTGATTGGAACACTTTAAAGTTAATGGTACTACGAGTATATTGGTTCTTGCTACCATTCTTAGACTAGAAGACGATAGGATATTAAATGGCTTGTACAATGTTACCTGGTCCGTCCATCTTCTGCTTGATGTCAGTGTTGTTTTTAATCCGATTACGTTGACCAAATGCTACCCATGGGGGCGGTGCACCTTCTCCAACCAACGTTGATCTTGTATGGTGAGCCAGTTGCTTTTGGGAGGAAAGGAAAAGTGTTAAAAGCTACGAGCATATAAAGTATTGTTTATTGTACTATCCATAGATCTCCCCATACTTCATACCTACAATTTATGGTTTGTAAGATCTATTGATATGGCCGTACAAATGACACCATTCCTCAACCACATTCATTTGTTCATTCATTCATTCATTCAAAATAGTTTATTGATTTAAAAAAAATTCTTTGTGGATTGTAGGTATATATTACTCACCTTGGCCAACTCCCATCTCTCCACCATCTCCTCCACTTTCCCACCCAGGACTTTGAGGGTCGATGGTGTTAACATGAGGAATCCATTGGTCATGTCCACACTGCCCTTCAATAATGCTTTGGTACCAGGGGGTGTGTTAAGACTGAGATAAGGATATAGACAAGCAAGAATATTGATGATTACAGAATGACAGTAATGACCACACTGTATGTGGAATGACTTTACAGAAGATAAAAACTATCACAAGATATCTAGTTAACAGGACCAACCATCGGTCATGTGAACACTGCCCTTCAATAACGCTTTGGTACCAGGGGGTGTGTTAAGACTGAGATAAGGATTTAGACAAGCAAGAATATTGATGATTACAGAATGACAATAATGACTATGTAAAATACTTTACAGAAAAAAAAAACTATCACAGGATTTCATGTTAACATGACGAACCATCGGTCATGTGAACCCTGCGCTCCACTATTGAGCTTTTTTTTACCAGGGGGTGTGTTCAGGGTGAGAATAGGATTTAGACAAGCAATGATTTTTTATTTAAGTGACCTTACACAAAAAACTTAAAGACGTTTAGGAGTGGGCTCTCATGGAGAATTTAACACCATTTGGGTGTTTACTCAGTAACACAATGATGCTCTCTGAGAGACTAGGGGGTATTTTTTGACACGCCTACGGGTTCAATGTGTGCAGACTTGTACACACATTACCGGTAATGGTATTTCCACCAAGTCTGGTGTCAGCAAAATATGGCCTTGTGCACATGGAAAATGACAACCTAATCTCTTTAATGATTATCAGGGGATAACCATGAGAAACTAATTGGTCATGTAAATGTACACACTGCCTTTCAATAACACTCGGGTGGCGTGTACAGACTGAAAATAGAATTTAGACGAGCAAGACTACTGCTAAGTGCCAATGACTGCATAAATTGACTTTACATTTCAGAAAAATATGATAATTATCAGGAGATGACTACTTATTATCCGAAACCAATTACCCATGTCAACACTGCCCTTCAAAGTAGTAATTAGGCTCAAAGTGTTTAATAAAACATTCAAAGGTGCAGAATACTAGGGCAAGAAAACAAATATATACAACTCCCTTAAAAAGCCACCTCCTTTAAAATCTTCTATGACCTACAACATCAGTTCATCATTTCTGATGATTTCTTTTAAAACTATCCATTCATTACACACAATTGATCTCTAAATTTAACACCAACAGTTATCATTTGCATAAACAATATTAAATACATATCAGTAATTTTTTGGGGTAAAAATCACAACTTTTTCACTTGAACGATTTACCAACAGTAATCTGACAGCTGCTCATGGTTTCAACGTTTCTGAGGTAGTGGGCTATAGCTTGGGATGTAATTGGACCTATGTTTAGGGTCAGGTATAGTGTTGTGTTAGGAAAGGTGTTCAAGAATTGAATTTACCGGTAGGCTTTTCATTAGTGCTAGAAATTGATTACAGAGCAATTGTCGCTGGCATCGTGAGAGATCATTCATATTGTTAAGTCTTGTAATATGATTAAAAAAACAGATTTCCTCACCTTATTTGAGGTATCGTTTCCATGACAACTCCTAGGCATGTGGTATGTCCGTCAGTGAGTTGAAGTCGTAGAAGCGTAGGGGCCATAGAAGATTCCTCATTGGCTTTGGGCGCCCCTACGTTACGAACTTTCTGAATCTGCAGCACATAGGGCCCCTGGATCTGACATATACAAAATGAACAGGATGACAATGTTGAAATTCTGCTACAGGGCAATTTCAAGCATTACGGGATTACACATACAGAGCGTTTTCAACATTTCCATAACAACATATAAATATATGAGACACAATATATACTAACATGTGGTACTTTCACAGCAGTTTGGTTTGCTATCAATAGAGATGCCACTATGATTTACTTGTAAAGCCTGGAAAATGACTCAGAAATATTGAATCCCTTTTCATTATTATACAGGCATATTTTACTAAAAAAAAGAAAAGACAGGGCCTGCAATCAAGCGAAATCCTGAAAAAAGGGCATCCTTGCCATCAGCCCTCCATAAAAATTATGAATTATTGAATTTTACATAGCTTTGATGCTGAATGACCATGAAATGGCCTACGTCATAACTGGTGGTCCAAAAATATTAGTGGATGATTTACCTTGTCAGACTTTGCCTTGCCACTGTCTGCTGGAAGGGCATTGGATCCAATCTGCTTCAGGTCAATCTAAGGAGACAAATTGATTATAGAGAAGGTTGGGTTCTGGTAAAGATGACAAGTAATTGGTGAACTCAGCACCTGGGAACATCACCTTGTTATAGTGCTCTCGTTCATTCAGACATTATTTTTGATGCTCTTTTGGAAAATGAAGAAAAAAAAATAGAGAAATTCTAAAAATAGATTTTTGATGACGTCACACTTTACCACTCTATATTGTTCTGGTTCATAACATAACGAGCCAGAGCAATATAACACTAAATTCCTATAGGAAATCTGTTTATTCAGATGGTCATATCTCAGCCAATATTTAACATATTCGGTTGGTTTTCAACATTTAGACATTATTTTGTATGCTCTTTCAGAAAATGAAAAAAAAATATAGAAATTCCCTAAATAGATTTTTATGAAGTCACAGCTTCGGTACTCTATGAGTCAAAACCTATTCTTTCACATGATTGGTAATAAGAGCTTCCATTTCATTTTTTGAGAGGGGGGGGGGCATTTCCAAAAGTAGTTTATACCTTTAAGAAGATAAAAAAGTAGATTACATTACATGTACTTACATCCAATGCCCTCTTTGTGAGAGCATCCACTGACATAGCAGATACTCCATCCTTGCATCTTTCGATCCCATCTTTAGACAGGTGCCTGAAAATCGGACAAAGCACACAAATAGCAAAAAAGAAAGATTATCCAATATCTTGCAATAACATCTTGTACTCCTGCAATAACATTTACAATGCAAGCAATGACTACCAATTCTCTCATTCACATTGCCTTAACACAACAACCATCAATAATTTAATTAATAACCAAGCCAACAAGGCTCAATTTGATCATGATCAGTACGCTCTCTGCAGACTTCTTGCATGTTAATCACTAGCTAGCAGTTGCCAAGAAGGCTAAAGTGCATCCACTCGCAAATTACTTCATGGATTAAGTTAAGTAGGCCCTCTCTCACTTAAATTCGAAGCCACTCGAGCGGATCGGCCAATGAGAGCGCATAAACTTACTGTACAGCGCTCAATGCGCAAAGTTCTTCGTGAACCATCCCTGGCCATGGGCATGAATCAGGATCATGATTAGTAAGCCTGATGGTAGATCCTCTCAGTCTCAGTCTCGAGTCCAACACATCTTATCATACCTGTCCCCTCCTCATCCTCCCACTCTACGAATATAGTTAACATTTTTTCTGATGTAGAATTTTGCTAGAATTGATAGTTCTCTAACGATACACAAATCATCCCGTGTGGGACCGTAGGAATAGACATCCACACAAATTGTGCAAGGCAAGGGTGGGGAGATACTCAGCATCATAACATCGTTTATGTTACTCACAGGGCACAATCACTCAATTCACCATATAATTCAATAGAAAGTATTATAAATGTAGATAATGCGATATGTAAGAGAGTCCAATGTCTACAGAAACAGAAATTATCTTACCATCCACGAGTCAGAAGCTCAGCTTCAACCATTTTGCCACAGTCTCAGAATAGATATCGAACGAGCTTTTTGATTGGAGCATTGTGAGAAATCATGACTCGCATCGTTTGCATTGAGCAACTTAATTGGTTGAAAGATCATATTGGGTAGGCACAATGATGTGGAAAACTATGACTTGAGATGCCTCCCCCAATTATATTCTGCACAAATTGTATATAAAATTGAAATTTAGATTAACCTATTGAAATTTTGGAATTTTTGACAAAAGAAGGGTTATCATCAAAGCAAACAAACAAACAAACAAAACAATACAAAAATAAATAAATAATAAGTACAGAACAATTTTGGGCAATTCGTAAAACTATGATCACGTATAAATTAATTGAGATATATAGTAATTGTCACCCCAGACGAGACGTCACCACGACACGTCACATCCACAATCGACGAAATTAATAACATCATCATTATCACAAACAAAACAAAACACACTATCATGGTCTAAATACCACGTACCGCCGCTGTTTTTTAATATGTTTTTATAAACATTATTTCCTTTCTTATTTATTGATTCATTTAGACTGGTCATTATTATATCCGTGTCCTCTTACAGGCGCGGATCCAAGATATTCCAACAGGGGGGGGGGGGGGGGGGGGGGGGGGGGCGGAAATTTGAAAATTGCGCAGATCGTTTTTTCAGCTCAACATACCATACCGGTACAATTTTTGACATTTTCATCGGGGGGGGGGGGGGGGGGGCTATATATATAGCCTCTTGCCCGAAAAGTAATTTTTTGGTTTCACAATTCGAAATAGTGATCGAGCGAAGCGAGCGAGCAACAATTTGAGCATAATATGTATTTTGTGAAAGTGTTATTTATCACCAAAATAAACGAGAAAAGATATCAAAAACTCATATTCGGGCAGCTCGCTGTCCCCTGCCCCCCCCCCCTATTACGCGCGGAAGCTTTGACCTTTCTTTAATTGTTAGAGAAAGAAAAAGATTTGTTATACCATTCTCGACTCTTAATCCTTGTCTGAATTGGGTTTCCTCCCGCCCGCGCGAAGCGCGGAAGCTTTGACGTTTCATTAATTATTAGATAAAGAAGAAGATTTGTTGTACCATTCTCGACTCTTATTAGTTGACGATTCGTTTTACTATTCCTTGTCTGATTTCAGTTGCCCCCTCCTGAGCGAAGCGCGGAAGCTTTGACATTTCATTAAATTATTAGAGAAAGAAGACGATTCGTTGTACGTTCTCGACTTGTCAGAATTTTCAATTTTTTTTTTTTTTTGTCTGCTCCTTTTTCGTCCTATGTCCTCTTACTGCCCCTACCGCCCCTGGCTACGCGCCTGCTTTAAAGAGAAAATGAAACAATCATGATTGTGATGGCACACAATTAGGTTAGTAGAAATGAAATGGAAAAAAGATCTATTACACCAACCATGGATAAATCACGGCCGGGAGCGTCATATCATAGTTTTGTGTTATCGGGCGAGGGTCGGGGCGTAGCGACCAAGCGAGATTTTGCAATGTTGAAATTATGCATTCTAGAAAATTCCGCTATATTTCTTTCTAGCTATATTTCTAAATTTCCTGGGGGACGTGTCACCCTATCGGGCCCAGGACTGCCGCTCCTGTCCATGATTACTACCAACATGAGTTCAAATACAAGCACAAGCGAGTTGGTATGAGCTGAATCCAAATGAAGGGCAAAATAAGAGTTATGAAGCGGCCCTACCGTTGATTTTAAATTTGACTGTTGAGTATATAGCTTCTATTTAAAAGACATCCAAAATATTGTGCCCTTTTCAAATTTCTCACTAAAGAGTGATGACCTTTGTTGCGCAGGGGCTGTTTTTTTTTTAAACTTTGAATCCGCGGCTCGAGATTTTTTGCGGCCGGCCCGGCCCCCTTTATTCAATAACGTTTGCCAAGCCTTCTGGAATGACCCCAAATCTCCCGATTACAGTTTTCCCTTATTCGTCGTTACTGTCACTTAGCGCCATTTCATTGTCTTCCCCCTTTCTCACCGACTTTTCTCGCCCCCCCCACCCATGCACTCAGTATAGGGTACGCACATGTATATGTTCCCTCTCTTTGAAAGCACCCCTCTATCTCCGGCACGGTAAGTCAGTACGGGCCGGACTTTGTTGCGTGAAAAGTAACTCTTTATCGGAAATTTTTGGAATATAAATTCGGTCCCTCCGACCCCGGAGTGGGAGGGAGGGGGGGGGGGGTTGGGCTTTCTTCTTTATCTTTTCTTTTCTTTTCTCTTTTCTCTTCTCTTCCCTTTTCTTTTCTCTTCTCCTTTTTTTCTTCTCCTCTTCTCCTTTCTTTTTTTCTCTTCTGTTCTTCCTCTTTTTTCTTCTTTTTTATTGCGCCGCCAATAGGGGGGGGGGCCGCGGCCGTTTCGGCCCCCTGGATACGCCACTGCTCTTACCCCCTCCCCCCCCCCCCCCACTTATTCAGCGGCTGGCTGAGTCGTTTACCATGGTTTACCATGTACTTTGTCGCTTGCCTACAATGCTCCCTTGAAAAGCAGGCCTTGCGGCTCTGAAGGCCAGTGAAGGGACTGCCCTGTGTTTTAATGAAGACTGAATTGTCAAATAAATAAATAAATATATAAATATCAAAACGATACAATTTAATTCTTCAAAATACAATTCTTTTCATTTTTAGTATAACATGATTCACTTAACGTGATACACGTACGATTCATGAATTACAATGGAAACAAATTAGAATGGAATAAATCTTAACATAAAACGCGCGCGCACAAACACACACCCACACATACACATACATAGGGGAGAGGTCGAGACTGAGAGAGAACGAGAAAGAGAGAGAGAGAGAGAGAGAGAGAGAGAGAGGGGGGGGAGGGGGAGGCGGGGAGGGGGAGGCGGGGAGGGGGAGGCGGGGAGGGATGGGAGGGTGCATGAATAGATAATGAGAGAAGACAAAACGGGACAAGAAGAAATTGGAAAGGCCACGTAAAATAGCACAACGCATAATTGGGGTAGAATTAGCTTTTGTCGAGTCTCATTGTACTGAGCAAATTGTTCATAGGCTCTGTGCAATCATGAAAGACAATACCCATCCACTTCATTTATTTTATTCATTTAATCGTTCTGGTATCCGACTTCGCCCCACCCTAACCCAGCTTTCACGATTCAGATATTCATTTGTACCCGACTCTGTTCATAAATTTAACTCACAGGTTAAACGTTAAACTTCTGCGTCGGAAATTAATTGTATGATTTGAAATACCAATGACCAAGGCTTAATTCTGAAACTCATGATTTGAAGTACATGTACCAATGACCATTTTTGTCGCTTCATTATCTTTCGCATGTATTTGTTCCTTATTTCATCTATTTCATTCTATAAACGTGATGTATTTATTTCTTGCAATTATGTATTTTGTTGAATATGACTGTAACACCAGTGGAAAACAATTTTCTATGAAACTTGTTTGCAAAGACCAAATAAAATATTTTGTATCTTGTATCTTGTATCTTACGATAAATCAAGAAATCACCGGAGAGAAGAAGGGGGAGGGTCCATAATTGATTGATCCCCTTAGTGAGAATCCCTGAACATCTACAAACCATAAATAATTTGAATATGAAAAATATTCTTGTTTCCAATCTTTTTGTCATATCTTATAAATGCAGGAGGGTTTGTTACCGTCTTACACTCGCACGTTTCATACCCGATATAATGACTGGTTATTAATAGGAATAACGATCTAGAGAGAAAAGTGATTGTTTGTTAATTGAAATGTTTTATTTCCGTTCACTTCAAGATTCTAAGTTTATTCAATATAATCATGATTATCGTTACTGAAGACATTTAAATGCAAGGTGACCATGTTTGAAACCGTCATTTTGTTTGAATGATAATATAGACAGGGTCTTCGTTCAAGTTTACCGGGCAAGAGCAGATTTGCTCGCAGCGCCCTCGATGTTATTAATAAACGCTTTAACAATGTATCCTGTAATGAGTGTAGGCGCGTACGCAGGGGGGTGTTTTGGGGGTTAAATCCCCACTCAATTTTTTTTTTTGAAAAGAAAAAACATACTCCCCCCCCCCCCCCCATCCCCACTGAACGAAATATCGGTGGGCGCAATTTTCAAATTTCGGGGGCAAAAAGAAACAAAATTGTTACTCAATACCCCCCCCCCCCCCCCCCCCCCCAACTGAGCGAAATATCGGTCGGCGCGATTTCAGAAACGGTCAAACACCCTTCTCGAAAAAAATCCTGCGTACGCCACTGGCTGAGTGTATTATTCCTGCAATGACTATCACGTAAACGGGGCGATCCCCCTGGGTATTTCAAAACACCCATTGCATAATCATTTCCAGTGGCGGATCCAGGACAGGTGTCCCGTGCCCCTCCCAATCTGTAGCTACGCCGCTGACCGTACACCCCTTGGATATCAATCAAGATCAGTCCTCGCTCTATTTGATATCAGTTCCCGCGATTCATCTGGACATCCTCAGTGCGTCTACTCCTCATACAGAACGCGAACATCGCTCGAAACTCCTTGAGTCGCCACCAGTAGATGATAGAGTTTGCAATCCAGTTAACGCAAATCATTATATCCCCAGCATTAAAAAGACACCCGTTGTCAACGCCAAAACTAAGAAAGGCCCAGTTCACCCACGGACAGATCCAGCAAAGGACAGTATCCCGAAGACAAGACCGAACGTACGGAGCACTCTCTGATTTTCCTCCTTCCGTTCCTGGGTGATGTTGCCGTCGCAAGGTACCATGGCAACCGAGCGGTAGATGAATACATAACAGAGACCGGTGATGATGGTGGTAGTCAGTGCTATACACATAAGAAAGATATAGAATAGGTTCTCGCGGGCTTCGACGATGATTGAAGAAACGGAGAGCGATAACGCCCACGTCACTACGCAGGTCGCAATCAAGCGCGGTGTCGTTATGATATTGAGGGCGCCGAAAGAGTCCACTCGGATAGTGATGAATTGGTAACCGGTCACCAAAACGACGCTTAAAAGTTATACCACGAAAGATGCTACTTCTACTATGGCA